TTTTTTTTAACATGTTCATGTTCATATTCTTCCACGAGGAGCAGATTATTTTGAATAAAATGAGACTGTTTATCATGAGGTTTATTTGAAAAATATGAGAATAATAATTGAAATAAATTTATTTTTATTTATTCTAGTTAGCTGATAATGATAAAAGAGATAAAGAATCGATAGAAGAACAAGATATGGCTGATGAAGCAAAAAAATCTTCGAAAATTCTTTTATCAAGATACATAGTCAATCATCATTTTCTCTATTACATAAGAGAACATATTAATTATCTTACTCAAAAATAAACATATTTTATTTGAAATTTATTTTAATTAAAGACTAGTTTTATCTCGAAGATATATTTATAAATCTGAAAATAAAACTCTAATAGATAGATTAGAATCAATAATCCTCTTATAGTGGTCTAATCAACTAATTTTAACCTTTTACTCGTCATACCACCTATTCGAGAAGACTGATCCATTTTCTAGCTCAATTATTATAATCAGTAGAAATCAATCAACAAACAAATATGAGTTCGGGTAGGTTTTTTTTGAAAACTGATTTCCATCACAAAAATCGATGTTTACTGAATAAAAGTTCGTTACTCTGAACAAAGAGGCGAGCTTCTTTCCTTTTTTATTCTACTCTTTGACAAATATACTCTTCACCTTTAAAATATTTCAATATATTATGTTAATATCAATAAATAATCACAATTCGAACCATTAACGAGTTTAACTCTAATACCAACCATTTTAACAAAAAGAAAAAAACCTATTGAATTGTCATCAATCTCAACATCGGTTTAATAGAAAGACATCATCAATTGATCTTCTTCGATTATTTAATTATATGAGAAGAAGACATCATCTATTAGAATAATAGAAGTTGCCTCTTTCTATATCAATCTCTATTAAGATTTTTCCTCATTGGACAATTGGGAGAATTTTTAATAAATCCATAGGGAAATTGACTAATAGTCATTGACCTGGCTAAGCCACTGGTCTCTCACTATTTTCTCAATATCTATTTCAATAATAATAGTTACGGACAAAGTTTTCTCTTAAAATCTAAACCGTTGAATTTTCTATAAAATTGATATAAAAATGTCTACCATAGATGTAAAAGTAAAATATCTATTCTATAAATTTAAAGAATATCTTATTTGAATAAGTTTCAAAGATAAAATTCCATATTATTCTACAAATAGATTCTCACATTGCGATATCTAAAAGTGAAACAAGCCATTTTTCAGAGATTGAAAAGTTCGAACGTCTAAATAGGTTTACTTATCTTTTATAACGAATCTCTATCACACAAAATAATCTTTATTTTTTAGATTTCCACAAAAAAAAAACGTTTTTCCTTCGTAGTGTTTCATTATTGTTGAAAAATTGATGTGAATCATCTATAAATTATTTATTGAGAGGATAATTTGTTTTTATTTAAAAGCTAACAAGTCATCCAATATGAGTTAACTTTATTCGGAATAAACGCTTTTCCCTCTCGATTAGGTTCAATAAAAAAAACTCTGATATATCAGATATTAACCTTTTGTTAAAAGATAAGATTTTCTCTGAATATATTAGCTAGATAGGTTCTTTCCTATGTTCGATTAAATAGAGGATATATTTTATTCGATCTGAGACGATAGTTTCAATTCTTTCAACAGTTATTCATTTATTCGAGACAAACCGAAAATTAATTTCGATATATCTACTTGAAATTTTTTAATCACATATGTTTAGAATGTTTTTCTAATAACTCTTTTGGTTATACTTCTACGGTAGATATTTATCTATAATTTTTCTAGAAAAATTTCTTTCTCACAGATTGATTATGTTCCATATAAGTTTTGATTTATTTTAAATAATTATTATTAAAACTATTCGAATGTCTTCTTGTTTTTTTTTTCATTTATTTATTAGATTTTCATATTAGTTAAAATAGAAATATTCTTTCACTAGATTTTTAAATTGAGTCATATCTCGAAACTGTTCATCATATATAACTTTTCTTATTTTATTCAAAAGGTTAACTTATTTATATCGTCAACATGTCATTTTTTTCTTATTGAGAATTGCTCAACCAACTTATAGGAAATTAATTTATTCAGAATTTTGAAGGGGCATGATAATAGAAACTAGGTTAAACTTTTTTTTTCAGTTCAGCTACGTTTTTATTTGTGACGATTTAGAGATTTTTCTCGAGATTAGCTCATTTTAAAATAAAAACGAGTTATTTAAAAAAAAAACTTGATTTTTATTTAATAAAGTTGATAAAAAATTTAGTCCTTAACGGATGATAGTCTTATAGATTTAGTTCATTATTCTCCTTTACTTGACACATTAATTGTTGCCAATTCTACGGGTTTAACAGATGATACATAAATAACTCCTGAAAGATATTGTCATCAACTTAACTAAGACTTAAAATAAAATAGAAAAAAAAAAGAAAATTTTTAATTCATCATCATTGTTGTTATGTTTAGCAAACTTGATGGAATTCTATCTTCAGAATTTAGTACATTAAATTTTTCTCAATGGCTCAAATCAGAAGAGTATATATTAGAAATTTCGAAAATTTTCTTTTTTTCGGAAAAATAATCTCATATTCAAAGAGTTATGAAAGTTTCAATGAATTAATTCATTTTTATTTTCACTTTTCCGTACATATTCCTTTCTTGCGCTCTCTTGTTCGATATAACGTATTGTTTTCTTTTTCTACCCTATCCACCCTTAGTTACATTTGTAAACAAATTTTCTTTCTCTACGGTTGACTCGAATTTTCTTTACATTTAACAAACACACATACACTGTTATACACATACACACATATTCTTATTTACGTCGTCTTAATGGCATCAAGTTCAATGACTCCGGGATAAAAAAAAAAAAATGTTTAATTTGTAATGAAAAGGATGTGGAAAATTCATCATCATTATTTTGTTCAACATGTGCAAATCGGATTGACAACGGAATATCAAATTTGCAGATGGGCGATCAGGGTAATAAAAAAAACTAATCTAATAATTTAATATAAATTAATAAACTTTTTTTAGCCGGTTTATTATTTTATCTTAAGGGAAATGAACACTTGTCGAGAATGCAAAAAAATCATTCGATTAGATCAATATGTACTTTTAAATAATAAAAATAAAGTCATTTTTATTGTTTCATATTATTAAATATAATGTTGTTTGTTTTTAGTTCTTTTGCAAATATTGCGCCATAAATGTCAAACGAATCAACGAAATTCATGTCAAAAAAGAAAATCTTACAAAAGTCACCAAGAGAAGTATTCAACAAATTAAAAGAAAAATCTTAACTATAGGTCCACTGAGTTAATAATAAAATGAAAACTATTCTCATTTTTGACCAGTTCTATTTTTAGATTCGTTTCGGATTAAACATCATCAACAATTAAAATAAAACAACATGAACATTTATTTATTTAGTTTTTTTGTTAAATCCATCTTTTTATTATTATTATTAAATCATGTTTTACTCTTTATCATTTGTTGAACAATCTTCTTCTTTCTTTAAACGTCACATCTACTAATAGAATCAACTAACACAGTAGAACAATGATAATTAATCTCAGTTGAGATCTTTCTTACTCAAATAATTCCAAAAAGAAATGTCATTAATCAGAATTTTAACTTCAATTTGAAACAAAGATCAAATTAAACAAACGAATTAATTACATTCTATTATTTCTACAAATCTTGCTTTTAACCACTGACAAAAACTGTTTATCGAAATAGAAAACTCATTATCAGATATAAATTTCTTGTTTTTATTGAAATTCATGATTATTTATAATAATATTGATGTTAAAAATGAGACATGAAATGAAATAGACGAAAATATATTAAATATATCAATCAATCAAAACCACATAATAAGTCCACAACCATCTTTTTCAACAAAAACATATGGTTGTTCATCTAATGATAAATTAAGAATACGCTTTCGTAATTTTTCAATAAATAAACAATGTTCCTTGTATGCTGCAACAGTATCATAAGAATTTTGATGATAAATACGTCGAAAACAAAAAGAGAAATCGAATAAATTTGGTGTTATCTCTGCAATGATTTGACAACTTGTATCATCTGGAGGAATATGCATTCCATATAAAAGTATACGTAAAGATTTCAACAATGGTAAAATTGAGAGTGAATGTAAAGCAGTCCAATCACCAGTTGCAAAACGAAGACACTCATAATGAAGAATGATTTGAATAGATCGAATATTTAACGAAAGTGAACAACTATTCAATGAATCCAAACTATCGATAAGAATAAGATGAGAAACATTAGGTAAATTCATAGACACTTGTCTATTACATCGAAATAAATAAAGTTCGACTATCTTATTTGAATTCATTATTTGAGAGAAGAATGTAGTAGATGATGCAAGATTATCTGACATATTCAATTTAATTAAATTAGACGAATAGATTTCACTAATTGAACAAGATTTAAATACTTCTAATTGATAAATACATCTATCTGGAACACTTAATTGAAAAAATTCATTAAAAGTCCATGGTAAACTATAGAATAGATGTTGTCGAATTTTGGGTTTCCTCGCCTGAAAAAACAACCGAATATTAAAAGAATAGTCTAAAACCGAAATAATCTTAAATTTACATAGATTTGACCTGGAGTTGTAAATGGTTGATTGTCAGGCCAAGAATCAGAAATAAATGTTGCACTACCTATTTGACGAGGATGACATTGATTATCATATGGGACATAATTAACAAGTTCTATATGTGGACGATCATCATTGATAATAAAAGCATAATGAACATCAATATGACGAAAGTCTGTAAAAAGTGCGGAATTCTTCATTTGAATAAGATCATCAACACTAATAACAATTGAGAAATTGATTCGACGTAAAGCAGGCATAACATTAGAAGAAGTCAATAGATTAACAAATGTCCATTCTACCATCGAATGCCAATCGAATGATTTAACAAAACTAAATGTATGTAAAGATTTCATTTGAGGCAAAAGATTTATACCATCTAGACTACTATTTATAAGAAAACATTCATGAGCTAATTTAATGTGTAACTGTTCTAATGTACGTGACAATGGTTCAGTCGACATTATGTCTAATAAGTTCCGCGTTGTGCTCAATGTAATAGCCAAATAAGTTAAAGGTATTTCTATTATTTTAAATGGCCAATGATGTAAGAAAAACGATGACTCCATTCCTAAATCAAGTGAACGAAGAGCAGACAGATGATTAAGAATTTCAGTAATGAATTCACATAAATTCCATGATGGATAACATAATTTTCTACTTAGACCAAACTTAACGAAAGAAAAAATAAATATTAAAATAATATATACCTCTATTATTAATTGAAAGTTAAAATTTTCTCTTTACTTATCTAAACTTGCTAATAACAGAGAAATTGTTTAGGGAAAAAAAAACTAGACATCAATATAGAGAGATCTAAAGCTTCGACATCTTTTACACAAAAACAAGTTTTCCAAGAGATTTTTGTATATTTAGCATTAATCTTTCAAAAATAATTGATCTATTTCTTTCGAAAGGAAAGTCTGATGAAATATTTTCCTTAGATATATTCTTGCATAGAACACGATAATGTGATCATAGAATGTTATCTTCAACCATTGTTTTATACGTCAATAAATATGCAAGAACTATCAAGCAATCATAAATACAAAAATTTTATACTTTCCTACTCAAACTGTTTTCTCATGTGCATAAACTTCTTGAGCAAAGAAAAAAAAATCACGTGACATCAACAAATCTTAACGTCTGTACATGTCAATCACATAAAAATAAAACGTTCGACTAGTCTTTTAAACCTTTTCATACATTCTATTGGAATTACTGCTTATATAAGATTTTTGGGAATTATACTTACTGTTTCAAAATACTCGCTTGATTCAACTGTTAAATGAGTTAATGTAGTGGCATGCCGTTGTGCAAAATTAAAAACATCAATCACGTTTCGTACACCTTTTACTTTTAATATTCTTAAACGTGGTAAATAAGGGCAACATCTTAGCTGAAGTGGTGACGAATAACAATCAAAGACAAGTGATTGAATTACATTCAATCGAAGTAATGGTAAAATTTTTTTGAATCGATGATACCGCATGGATGATAAATTAATATGATAATAAAAACCACGTTCAATTAATAATCTTGTTAAACGAATATTGAGATTATTGAAACACCATAAAGCATCGACACAAGATAAATAAGAAAATATTTCTATCAATGATAGATCAGGTAAATCATTGAAGAGAGTAACCATATTGATTTCAATTGAACGAAGACGAGAAATGAGACGTCATTTTTTTTTTATAGTCGTATATATAATATTACATTGCGAATGTTCATCTTGTGTTATTATTCTCTTCATTATGTTTTATAGCCGACGGAAACAATTTTTTCAATATATTTATTCCCTCTATGCAGAAAAAAAAATGAACCTCTGGCCATTATCTATATTGACATCATATATCAATAATGAACTTTTTTTTATTAGCGAAATTTGACCCTGTGACTATATCGGTCCTGATTAGGGGTACGCAAGCTCAGCTCAAGCTCACAAATAATGAGCCGTTGAAAACGCTCACTGAGACGAACTGAACTATTCGAACAGTTCATTTGAGCGAACTGACCTTTCTCAAACAGCTTATCTCACATGAGCTGAACTGTTAGAACAGCTCATTTGAACGAACCGAGCTTTTGGAACACCTCATTTCATATGAGCTGAACTGTTAGAACAGCTCACTCGAACGAACCGAGCTTTTTCAACACCTCATTTCAAATGAGCCAAACTCCTCGAACAGCTCATTCGAACGAACCTAACTATTTCTAGGGGTACTCATAGGTTCTCGAGAGCTGCCATATAGGGGTGCCTATAGGTCCTTAAGTCCTATTGCTCACGGATACCCTTGGGTCCTCACGTCCTATTATTGGGGGTACCCTTTGGTCCTCAAGTCCTACTATTGGGGGGTACCCTTTGGCCCTCAAGTCCTATTATTGGGGAATGCCCTTAGATCTTCAAGTCCTATTATTGGGGGATACTCTTGGGTCCTCAAGTCCTATTATTGGGGATATCCTTGGGTCCTCAAGGATAAATGCCAAAGCTGAATTTTCGCCGTATTTCACTGGGTAGTAGCCCATACATATACCCATCAATCGATAGAACATCCTCGATAACCATATGATTGGCCCGAACATGGCTATGTGTTGCCCTTACAATAAGAGAAAAGACGGCTCCTGAAATCTGATTGGTCTATTTTTGGACCAATCATATGGTAGGATCCTATTTCTCAGTGATGGGACGGGTGGGCACCCCTACATATACCCATCAATCGATAGAGCACCCTCGATAACCCTATGATTGGCCCGAACATGCCCATCACTTGCCCTCACAATAAAGGGAAAAAAATTTGAACCCGCTCGGATACCTTCCAGTAGTAAGACTTGGGAACCCAAGAGTACCCCCAATAATAGGACTTGAGGACCCAAGGGTATCGCCCAACAGTAGGAATTGAGGACCTATGCATCTCGTATAGGGTAGCCCTGAAGGACCTATGGGTAGCCCTTGAGAACCTATGGGTACCCCTACAAAAAGTTCAGTTCATTCGAATGAGCTGTTCTAACAGTTCAGCTCATATGAAATGAGCTGTTTCAAAAGTTCGGTTCGTTCAAATGAGCTGTTCGAACAGTTCTTTCGCTCATTTGAACGGAGTGGGTGTGGGTGTGTGTGTGCGTGTGGATAAACAGAACTACACCCACACACGCACCTACACCCACACCCACACCCACACTCCACACCCACATCCACACTCCACACCCACACCCACACCCTCATCATAAGAAATAATTTTAAGACAAGGTCTACATTGAAATTTAGTCAGTTTTTATGTATATTTTACTGCCATTAGGAGTTAAATAGTACCAACCACCACGTGGTCCTTTATGAAGATAACGATCATTGATAGGATCATATCTCGTATTGTCTTCAATAGCAGATTTATCAGTAGAATCATCTGTTCGGTGTACTGCTGAAGACTTACGTTTTCGATCTGAATTTTCAAGTTTTATTTGAGCCATCGCAATTACATATTTATCGGAATTTGCATCATTTACTTTTGTTGATGACGATGAAGGTTTGCTTGGAGATCTTTTTTTACTAGTCGATGGTCTTGTATTTGATGAATTCGATGACAATGGTTTTTCTTTTCCTTGGCTAATATTGTGAATATCTACATCGGAGATAGCAGTAAGCTCCTGAACTATAGTGGGAAACTCAGGCCGTTGAGTTTTTTCCCAGGAACAGCAACGGCAAAGAATTGTACGTAATTTTTCCGGAGCTCTCTGAGTAAGACAAATATTTTCAAATATAATTGCATTCTCTCGCTTAGGCAATGCATTTATGAGAATTTTACTATTGCTGTAAACATCGTCCCATGGAATTTTCTTTGAAATGATTTCGAGCAAGATACATCCAAATGCCCATATATCAGACTGAAATGAACTTCTCTCTGGTCGATCCAAACAAAGTTCTGGTGCAAACCATTCCACTGTTCCTACAAAGACAATAGAAAAAAAATAGACTGACATTCGAGTGAAACTCGATTACACAAGGCAACTGACTGTATGAATCTCGAAATATGTTAGTACTTTTTTTTCTTGTGTTTATACATTCTAACATGAATTCTTTTTTAGTGTACTCATAGCATGAAATACTAATGTTAAATATAAATGAAAAATTATCTCTTATATATCATTTTAGTTTCTATCTACTGATTATTATTATCTCTATTATTTGATTGATATAAGCCATACAAAAATTTCTTCTCGACGTTTAAGACTTTGTCGAAGATAAATCTATAGCAAGTATCAAATTTATTCAACAAGGTCTATTTTCAATTTTTTTTCTTTTGCCGTAAGTACTAGAAAAAATCCATATAGTGATTCGAGTAGAGAAAATTTTTTCCAACAGAAATATACGAAAATAGAAACTAATATCCGATTCGCAAAGAAAGAGACTCCAGAAAACTAGAATCCTCGTTTTTCAGAACCTAGAACACGTAAATACAGTTTTGTTTAGACTACATAAAATGATAGAGCAAACAATTCTCTACAAAATGAGACATTTTCAAATTTTCTTCAACGTTCTTTAGTTTAGATACAACAATTTTACGGAAGCCTCTAAATTCGTTTTTTTTTTTATTATTTCGTATAGAAAAGCAATTTTTTTGAACTTGAATCAAATTATTGTATCTCAGTCAAAAAACGTCCTAGAGAACTCGAAGACGCCTGGTTTTGTAGAAGATGCTTTATTCTAGTGTTCTAAATGCTGAAAAAATGGACTTTTGGTTTTCTAGAGCTCTTATCATCTTTAAAAATCTTTATTTCCTTATATTCTTTTTACAAACAATTTTTTTCTATTTGAATTACTATTTGGAATCTTTCTAGCACTTTCGACAACACAAAAAAATTGAAAATAAGTCTTGGTGAATAATTTTGGTAACCACTGTAAGTCACACAAGATGATAATTAAAATATATATGCATATAACATCTGAAATATCAGTGGTAGCTTTACGATTGAATCATGTATCACTATATAATGAAACTATCAGATGTTAATTATTGTTTTTCCCATATTTATATCCTCCAAATGTCGTTGAATTTTTAAAAACGGATCTCAGATACCCACTCAATCGGTCAGTCAGATGCTTTAATAAATACAGAGGGTTTCACAAAAGTCCATCGAAAAAATAAAAGTATATATTTCTTACACAAATCTATATTCCCGAATAATTGTGTATCAGATTATGACTCGATATGTTTCATCGAAACCATACTAGATGGAATTCGATTAAAAACTTCACAAAATTTGAATTAAAATTTGTTAAACTTTTATATGAACGTTAGAAGAAATCATCAATCAAAAGAATTCTTTTTATTTCGATGAATTTATCAATAAATAGAAAATGAAAACTTATGTTTGTATAATACCTATTAAAGATTAAATTCAATTTAATATAAATATCAATAACGAAAGTAAATTGATAAAATTAACAAATTTAAATCGTCTTTTTTCATAATATTTTGAAATAAGATGAAATGTATGTTTAAATTAGTCGAAATTATTTTCAACATTTATTGTAAATTAAATTTAAAAAAATCAAACTTCAATGGAGATGCAATCATACTATGAAATATATACAATTAAATGGTTTCAATTGTTCAAGAAACAATTACATTTACTTTTTCGACTCATAAACGATAATAATTACGAAAGATTATTTCATTATATAGATATTCTCCAATCAGTATATATTTTCAAACTGGGCGAATTCGAATAATAAAAACCAAATAAGTGAAATTATGTTCAATAATCTATTAATGACATACCTGCAACAGAACATGTAGTAACTGCTCTTGAATCAGCAATTGTTCTTGCAAGACCAAAATCACATATGACTGCTACATAATTATGTCTCAACAAAACATTAGGACTTTTCAAATCAGCATGAACAATACGTTGACTATGTAAATAAGCCATAGCATGTGCAACATCAATCATGATCTGTCGAGTAACTTTCCAATATGTCAATGATTGAGTTGTTCTTTGAATGTAATCATACAGTGAACCACCATCGATAAATTCCATGATAATTGACGTTTGATTTGGTGTTTGAACAATATCAATATACTGAATAATATTCGGATGTGTAAGAGTTTTGAGTAAATTTGCTTCAGCTAAAGCTTCAGTTGATAGTTTACTATTGATATCTTTAATTCCTACTTCTTTGTAGTCACGATAACTTCCTAGATAAACAGTTCCAAAGCCACCTTTGCCGATTTGTTGATTGCGTGTAATCAAATTTTCATTTTTTCGTGCCATCACTTCGATCTAAAACAATAATAAATTAAGATGCAACAATGTTGATAAAGAAGTAACTTAAAATTAACGTGTGCTTTTTTTTGCTTTCTGCAAGTCGAACAAATTTTCAATTTTCACTGTGAAAAATCCAATGACGTTATAGTAACAACCGAACGCAACAGCATTGTAACGACCGACGCATATTTTTCTTTTTTTCTCTCTCTCTTTCTCTGCATGACGTTTATCGAATTTTGTTTATTGACACTTCTCAAGTACTTGCTTAAAAAACCTAATACAACATTTTATGGGAAATTTTTTAGTATTTTAAGAAAAATAGAACCGATGACACGATTAATTTCATTCTATAAATACGTAAGAGGAAAGATTTTGTTTATTGGTACATCTACATGACGAAAAAAATATAGAACTAAAAAAAAAGAGTTTGATGTCAAACTGAATATACAACCAAAATTAAGCAATAAGTGAATATCGCTTTACATAGTGTTGATTAAGTAATACAAGAACGATGAAATAATAAAAACATATTGAATCAGAAAGAATGAAGATATTTTTAACACACGATCAAAAAATCCAGTAGCCAGAAGATAACAGCTCAAGCATAATTAAAAAAACATCAAATAAAAATAAGAACAAAAATCGAATATCTACAACAGCAATGTATTCTTTTCTAATTTGTCTGATACAATAAAAAAGTTAATATCATCCCATTGTCAATGAGCACAAAGAATAAAAGATATGCACAGTTTCCTTTTGCTGTTACAATAAAAATTTCTTATCAACAGAAATAATTGTGAATTGAACATGAAATCAACAAAGTAGTACGAATTGACTAATTTAGACAGTAACTCGTCCTAACAAAACAGTACAAAATTTCAACTCATATAACCTTTTATTGAAAAAAAAAGAAGTCAATCGCTAACATTAACAACTTCATTCATTTTGAAAATAAAACTCTAGAATGATGAAACACGTAGTTCTACTTGTTGATTAGTGTTACTCGAATGTAGTTATACTACCAATCTTATAGAGGTTGCAGCGGCATATGTTCCAAAGTCAGGAATTGTAAAATTTATTCTGATATTAATTTTTAGGATCAAGCCTGCATAAAAGTAGATGAAGCAATCATGATTAGTTAATATTTAAGCGTATGTTGCTGGGATAGGTGGCAATGCTAATCAAAAAAGAATCAAGTGTACAGAAACATCATTTTTTCTTCGGAGAGTGTAAATATGGGTATGCGTCTTCTCTTCACCAGTCTACACCCATACCCTCTGATGTCGAATATGAATGATTTAATGAAAAAGAAATTTAATTGTTAAACGAAGAAAAGAGTTTAGAAGAAGAATTGTCTAAAACAATCAAAATATTAAAGGAAGGAAATATAATGAAATAACACATCATAATTATTTAGATAAAGTCCTATAAAGATGAATTATGAAATATCAAGAAAAAAAATCAGGAAAGTAGTAGTGCCACTGCGAGTGTGGATCATATGGTAAAATGCTAAAATTAGTTTATTGCGATGTTGATCAGCAGCTATTTGTAATTTTGTCCATTCTTGATTACAACTATGCATTGATTTTAAAACAAACAGAGAAAAAAATTGACTAACTAAAAGACAACAAGGTTTACTCGAAAAGTATCAACATAAATAAATATTCTGAGTAAAGTCTATTGAAACTACACACAGTCGGATGGATTTCTCTAATCTTTTATCACATTCTAGTAGATATCAATCAGAACTGAAAGTTGTTAATAGGTTTTTTGTAACTGAATACAAATGGTAGGCTCAATACTGATTTATCGATTGCGTTCTAATTGAGATGCTAATGATGTGTTCCAATTTATGTGTTTTTCATGTCACTTCATATGATAAAAACTGAGAAACTACTGAAAGTTTACTGCCGGTTTTTTTTGAAAGTGTTGTATCATGGTATATTGTATCGAAACGAGTGAAAATTTTTGAAGTCTTTTATAACTAACTGGATTGTGTCTGAGCCACAGAACCCGAATCAGTCCCAGTTATGAAATAAATTTTTATTACTGAAATATATGCTGAAATTGTTCTCTTGTCGGTTTATTTGAATCTCAAGCAGACAGACAAATCGATTTTTCACATTGTTTTCAAGAAAAGTAGCGAGTTTTATACGATTTTTTATGTGTCTTTTTCGGTTAATTCCAAAAATGCACAAAAAGTCATGTTTTCTACTTTTTTTTATTCGTTTTTCTGTCCAATTGCGTCAAATTTATAAAGAAAAGTAATTAAAAAGTTATTTCAATCAAAAACTCGTCCCTTGTACTACAAAAATTTGAATTTTTGAACATCTATGGATTAAAAATTTCTTACTCAAATTTTTTTATATTAAATTAGATTTAATTTTTCTTTAAAAATTTATTGACACGAGAGATAGCGTCCTTCCTTTTTTTTTTCTTTCTCTGATTTATTCCAATACGAACTGATTATGATAAAGAATTAATGGACAAACAAAAAGGGGTTCTAAATTCCAGAACGTGGAATCCATACAAGGTATAATTATGAGAAAAAAAAAATACAAAGTCTACTATAGATAACAGCTACATAACTGTCTAACATCAACATGCAGGTACAAACATCCATCGTAGAAAACATTTTAGTATAATTAAATAGTTATATACTTTCGAATGTATTTGATTAAAATATAAAAAGAAAAAGACATATTTAGATAAATATTGAATTCGAATGTTAGTTCTAATAAAAATAATTATGCTTCGCGACCTGTTGAATACCTTTTCATGAGCAATCGAACAGTTCATAAACATTTCATTTCTCAAATCGATATTATTACCACAGAACATATTTGATAAAGATAATAACATTACGTCGAGCATATGCATAAGTTGCTATCCTTCTGTTGAATCGTTCACTTTAGAATACAAACAATATAGACATTAAAGTAGTGAGAAATACACACTATTTGTCTTTGTAAATCTCATAGAAACACAAAAATACTTAGGATATAGTATACATAAATTTCAAAGGGGAGATGGCTGATGCCTTCGACCCTTCTCCTGGATCTACCACTGTTTAGTACCTGCAAAAAATTTCCCAGCTCGATCAAACACACTATCTTAGAGAAACGAGAGCGAAAACATGACTATTTCGATTTCAACATCCCATGGAGGACAGTATCCAAAAACTTCAAGTCTAGCACAACTTTTGTTCCACTCATCAAGACCTACGTGTTCTGAAATTTTCAAAATTTTCTGTCAATTCGTTCTTCGGAAGCCTCGGATAGTGAGATAAGGTTAGGATGACCTTAATTTATCAAAGTACAAAACTTCATTTTATATATATATTAAATATAACTAGACAAAATATATCTCATCGAAATAACCTAAATGATCATGCGACGTACTTTAAAATAAATAATAATTGAATAAATGATGTCATATACAACAAAAATTACTGAGCTATCACTATGAGTTACATTATGTACAAGGAAAAAACTGTAAAAAGACTTAAGTTTTTAGATTATCGCCTAGAAGTTGTACATGAGATCGTTCAAACGTTTGGAAATATGAAAAAAGAAGGTAAAGAAAGACCATCATTGTCATCAACACCTCTTCGTCTTACCGAAAGACATTTTCCATCCCGTATACAACTAAATGGCAAGCAAGCTATCCGAAGACGAAAATGTATTGTCTGCAGTAGAACAAAACTTGGACCAAAAAAGCGTACCGATATTTTATATGAATGTGTGGAATATGATGTTGGTCTATGTTTCGATGAATGTTTTAAATAATATCACACTTTAAAACGTTTTTAAATAGATATAAACTCTTTTCATGTGTTTTAGAAAGTAAAAATAAAAATAAAAGAGCTTAATTTCTTTTAAAATTAAACCGATCTCCAAAGGGTTAAGGAGTTTTGCTTATGTCAACGTAATCAATCCCATTTTATTCATACTAATATTTGATAAAAATATTGTTGTCAAGAATAACAACAATTTCTTATGTTTGTGTAGTTAAAATTATTATAGATCGCATATATATAGAATCCAGATTTTGTACATCCTCTGTAAATCTTGTTCGCTATTTGTTCATATTTTTTCACTTTGTTTCTTTTTCCTTTATATAATGGATTGATTTATGCACACAGTCACTTTCATGTAAACAAGATTAATCGTTATATATTTTGATTGTACCATCTTTATTACTATACGTTTTATATTCATTTGTATTTGTTTCTTATTTACCCAACTGCTAAGAATAATGTGTCGTGCTGTTAAGGTTAGAACAAATTTATCTTTTGTATCACTCATTTAATCATTTAGGATTTAACTGTACGAGAAGTTCTATGTAATTTTCTTTGAAATTCTTTACTGTTATCTTCTATTTCCTACGTTATCATTTTAGATTAATTTTACCTGTCTTTTTTCTTTGCTTTTTGTTTCGTATCATTGAGAATGGATTGTACTACAGATATAATAACGCTCTTAAACCCAACAGTATAGGCATAAAAGCTCTGTTCTATCTAATCTTAATACGAAGATTTTGCATGATCTATTAAGGCTAAAAAAAATGTTGAATAAGTTTGTCTTGTTTATTTGTTTTTTGCATGCGAACACTTTCTTTTTTTTGTTTTCTTCATATAATAAATTAAACTTTTAATCTTGCAGAAGATTCAATTCAATGTCAACTTGACCGACAATCAAAGGAATCAAATTATTCGTGATTTAGATCATTTTTATAGTCCACGTCTATTTCATATTCTTGCACATATACTAATTCTACGTCAACAATCTGACAGATTAAGAAATCAATTGGAAAATGAACGATTATGTAATATAGAATATGTTATTGATAATATTATTGAGAAAATAGAAAATGAAGAACAAGTAAATTAGTTTTTTTCTTATAAAATATATTTCTATGATTTATTTTTCTTTTTAGAAAGAAAAATTTGAAATAAAAAAGAAAATGAAAATCATGAATATAATCAAAGTATGTATTACAAAAAAAACGAATTATTTTTATTTTTTTTAGATTTTTCTCTATTGAATTTCTTTTGTAGATTGTTACATGTTTATCGATTTTAAAAATAGGCGGAATTATCATCTATTATTTTCTACATTAAAAATAATAAATGAAAATAAATTCGTCGTTGCATTAAAATTTATTGAAAATCGTCTTTATCCTAAATAATGAAATGAAAAATTTGGAAATCATAAAAAAAATTTATCAATGGTACATTCAGCGATATTAGTTATTTCTTCATTAAAACAATATTTAGTCAAGAAATTAAGCCAAAAACAAAAAAAAAGCAAGAAAAAATTATTTTTTCTGTTAGATTTAGAATATCGTCAATTTGATAATGATATATTTATAAACATGAAAGTTGAATATATATCGATCATTATTAAAACGAATATGTGGACAATAAAAAGTAAAGGTAAAAAGAATGTAAATTCAATTTAATTATATATTAATTGTTTTTAGATAAATTCAATATTTTCCTGATTATTGAACAGATTTATTTCGTTAATTTCAATATGTTAATTTAAATTTAAAGCAATTTCATGTGTTTTATATTGTCATAATGAAGAAGAATTTTTTTAATCTTAATAATTAATGATATCATTGATTACAATTGATGGTTGATTAAGATTAAAAAAAGATTAATTCAATCATTTTGTTTAAGTCAGATTTAATTATTATCTGATAAAATATTTTATCATACTCAATTTATATCTATTTTAATTAAACATAACAAAATTAATAAAATAGATAAAATAATATTCGAAATGATATCTTTTATTAATTATACAAAGAGATAAATGTATTGAATCTTCATCAATATTAAACTTTGAGAAGTTATTGCTTTAAATATTAATATCTGAATATTTAAAAACTAACAAAATAATATTGGCATTAAAATATGAAAAAATATCTGTTCAAATAAACGAAATGCTCGAATTAAAAAATTTGTTTTCTGATCGATTTTATTCTTGATAATTATAACCAGAGAAAACCTTGACAATTTTAATAAGAATTTAGTCAAAAATTAAATTATTCTCTTGGATGTGTATATGATTTTTTAAATAAAGCAAATATTAATGATCATCAACACATTACTCTTTAAAAAAAATCTAACAGGTATGACTTAGAAAAAAAACGACGATATATTTTTTAAATGATTTTATATTAAATTTAGATAGAAAATGTTTTATGGTTTTGTTTACTATCTTCAATAAAAAAATCAATTCATACATATATTTTTGCATATATATATGATAGTGTACTAAATTTCTTTATGTCATTAACACTGCTGTTTTGATAAAATTTTCATTTTTTATTTTATGAATAAATAAATGTTTTGTCTCTAAAATTCTAAATTAATATCAATATTTGATCAAAGAAGAGATTTAAAAGAATAAATAACTCATTAAGAAGAATAAATTTGAAAGAAAATATCTTTGGATTATTGAAACTCTCAAACATAACGTTTTAGTAAAACAATATTTTTATTAATACACAATCAAAAGAAAACTTAATGCATTATACTACAGACTGATGTGGTCAGGCACAATATAAATATCGAATTCTTAGTTATAAATTACTGATTTCATTGATGAATCGAACTTCGTTGTATTTTTCTTTTTATATTAAAGTTATCATGCGAAAGGTTTCACAATCATCGGGCGCCCCCTTTTTATTTATTCTCTACGAAGATTGAATATCTTCTACAATGGCAATCATATCGACTTTTTTTGAGTAGAAATTGACATTTCTTAATACAGGTATTATCAAATGATTAGCAGATTGATTAAAAAAAAGTATAAACCGCTAGAATGGATATTTTTTTTTTGTAAAAACCTCAGTTAATCGCTGGTTCTGATAAAAAAAAATACGACATGAGTACAACCCTCTACCATAATGAATTAGGAGATAAAACATCATCTATTAATTTTTCTAAAAAAAAAAAACTTAATATTTTGTAAAAATATTCTGAAAGTGTAATTGACCCTGAACATATATAAAGTTCGATTAACAGATTAGTTAGGAGAAAAAAATGTTAACATAGTGTATTTAAAAATAGACAATAAAAAATAAGTGTATTAGATGAATCAGTGAAGGTCAAAGTATATTTATTTGTAATTTCAAAAAATACCTTCTCGAATATTCTATGTGACAGTTAAAAGAACGAATAAACTTCTATTAAAAGACATTGAATTAATTTTTTAATCTATGTCATCTATGATTTATTGATTCGTTATAGTTAAAAATACTTTCGATTAAACTTTATAATATAAATCACATAATTAGCGTAGATGATAAAAATGACAGCAGACTACCTTATCCAGACCGATAAGAAATGTGGGTGGAATGATTGTATAATTATATTTGCTAACGTTGTCAGCAAATTTTCTTTTTTTCCTTATATTATTTACACAAGTCTCATGATGTGCATCCGATTTTAAAATAAATTTATGTAGCTGAATAAAGTCCATAGATGACATTGATCGAAATCGATACGAATGTAGGTAAAGTGTTTGCATAATTATACTTCCCAACATCATCAGCAAATTTTCGTTTGTTTTTTTCTCTTATATTCTTCTCATAAGTCTTGTGATTTCCGTTTGATGTTAAAATAAATTTACGTAGGTGATAAAAGTCTACAGACGGCCTTGGTTAAAGTCCATAAGAAATGTAGGCGAAATGATTGCATTATTATACTTCCTAATGTCGTCAGCCAATGTTCGCTTGTTTTTTTTTGTATGCTTTTCAAAGGTCTTGTGATTTGTATTTGAATACAACAATATAAGGAATCATTTTCGTCTTTATTAATATTAAAATTTTTTCTTCTTCTGATGTGACTATGATATCTATAGTCTATTAAACAACATTCGTATGTACAAAAAATAAAAATAGTGACGCAATTACGATAAAATTATTTGCCAAACAAGTGATTGTATAGTAGGTAGTGCGTTTGAAATGCTACATTAAAGACAAATATAACGTTTGAAAGCAAAAATTAATACGAAAATATTTTCTTGATTAAAAGATTTTCTTTTATTTTATATAATGAAGTAAATTATTAATTAATAAATTCCTATGGCTGAATCAATGAGTGATGAAGATTCAGATTTCAATTTATTTGATTCATCTGAAGAAACAATAAGTAAGAAATAGATAATTCAATCGAATATAATTGAAAGTGTTTTTTTTCTCTTTTATTTCAATAGCTTCATCACAAATAGTTATTGATGAAACAAATAATATTACTATTGATCAAAGTACGATTGTTAATAATATGAAAAAGTATATATGTATATATAATGTTTTTTTTATTTAATATAGATATTGTAAATATGACTGCAGAAGATGTAAATATTTTTCCTTCATTATCTCCTATTAATGAAGATGAAATATCTATTCAACCGGGCAATTCTCAACCATCACAGATCGTCAACAGCCCTTTTGGTAATTTTTTTTAAATAAAAGCCTAAGGAACAAGAATAGAAATAGCTATTGTTCGTAATCACAATTTTATCTTCTGCATTGATCTAGCTACATTAATCGGTGAAAATTTAATGTTGTATGTTTTTATATGAATTGAATATTTTTGAACAAGAACTTGTTGAAGTTTTGTTTACAAAATATTCCTGTACAAATAAAATGTAAATAGTAGGTTAACTTTTCGTCTATTATACATGTATATATACATATGTATAATAAATGTGTATTACGAAATAAATATATACGATATAAAATTTAATTTAATATTATTTATTTTTTAGTAACAAATGATTTTGTATTTAATGGTCAACCACTAGAATTAGATAGACATTGTGATGGTAAGTTTATATAGATTACACCGATATGAACTTAATTTATCTATTTAGAACCTGCTGTGATAATCCAATATGCTCCTAGTAAGCAGTCAAGTACTAATTTATGTATTTCTGTAATTTCTTTACTTTTAGGTCCAATTCATTTAAATACTGTTGGTTTTGAAATAGAATTGTCTTCAATAATTCATAGTAAGTGTCCCATAGAGTAGATATAACTATTACCTATAGATTTTAAGATGTTACTGATTATAATCATATCCCGTATAATATGATTATGAATCATGAGCGTGAAACAGTGGCTGAACCTGTTCAACACGAAAATTATGGTAACTATAGTTATACGAATTACTGTCAACAAACTGTGTTCTTCGTTTTTTTTTTCAGAAATTCAAATAATCAATACAGAAAGTATACCCATTGAAACAGCAGAAAGCCCAGCTCACGTTGTACCTATAGGTAAGTCAAACGATGAAATATACTTGGCTTCAAGTAATTTTGATGTAATTTTTTTAAAGATAATGAAATTCATGTCTTTCCTATTGAACATATTGATATTACTGGTCCAACTCAAGGTCATAATGTAATTGAAGGTATAGAAAATAACTGTTTTTTTTCTATTGGAAAAAAAGAATCATTTTTTTGTTGAAGTATCTCAAATACAATCGACTGTCATTGTATCTCCTGTTACAATTGATTCTACACAAGGTGATAATGCAGCAGAAGGTATATATATATTTATTTTCTTTTTAATATATGAAAGATAAATTTCGGATTTTAGAAGTACATCAGATACAAATAATGTCAAATACAAATGTTCTTAACAGCAATGGACAGATTAATCAACCAGAGAATGATCCACCTATTACACTTATTCCACCAGTGACTAGTAAGTTCGAAGTTGTTTTTCCCTTTTTTTCTTATTTAATCGAATACAACGAATGTTATTCTGTTTTTTAATTTTTAAAGCACCATCTTTGGAAGTTGCTGATCCAAATTCAACAGTTGCTTGTAAATAAATTTATTTTATTTATTTTTATTGATCAAAAATTTATTTCCTTTCTAGCTGTTGTTGATAATACTAATGAAACAATTAATTTTTGTGCTCAAATTCAAAGTAAATTTTTATTTGAATAATTTAAATGTATTATTAACAAATTTGCCTGTTCTAGCACCAATGTTATTACCACGAACTAATAAAAGGTCAAATTCATCGGATGCAATTGATCAACTTAAAAAGACATGTATTCCTAGACGTGTAAAACGACATCGAAGATCAATGTCATAATGTACAAAATAACTATTCTTTAATAATAATGCAATAGAATCTTGTCAGTATTTTATTATATTAGTCATTAACTGTTTGAGTACCGTATTATTTTTATATAATAAAAATTTTTATAATTTCAAACTAACGTTTATTTCGCAAAAAATATCACAAAGTACATGAATTAAAATGCTTGTAGAGTGTGATAGTCTTTAAAACAATCCATAAGACACAATCCTACATCACATTCAATGCATTCATACGAAGTATCTCTTCTTGATCTGGCTCTTCTCACAGTATTGGCACAAACGTAACATTTTCTTCTTGGATTTAGTTGAGTCTCTGTTGATTCAATGCGTGAAGGAAAATGTTATCAAATGTGATCAATTGATCAGAACTTTTACTATAGATAACACTCTTGAATGACTGTGTTAATATGAAAAATCCTCTTGATAACGATTATTCTTTCTTGGGAAATGTTGTCCAATAACTTATGTTCTAATTCATTGAATCACATAGTGGTCGATAGAAATATTAGGGAACAACCAATATTCATCATTAGGTACAGATAGTCTTAACCGTAAAAATATCCTAAACGCAAATATTCATGTAATTCATATCATAAAATCATCAAACAATCATGTTTTCTAAAGTTATTCAGACCCAAAACTACCAGGACGCGAATTCGCGTCGTCGGCACTCAAAGGGTTAATACGACTGTGTTTAACTGTATACTGGTGAAGTGTTATCGACTAAAAAAAAGCCTGTAAATTTCTTTTATTTTACTGTTCACAGTAGAAATAGAACAGTATAATCTGGAAGTTATTGTGAATTGAATATGTACAAGTTTTTATAACATGTTCGTTGTTTTTATTTTTGTAGTTAGTAAAACTTTTTTTTCTTTTTTGCATTGTATCTTAGATGTCGATTGTAATAAATAATGAAATTATGCTAGAAAAGAATGTTCTGCTTTATATTTCGCTTTTGTATATGAATGCACTGTTAATACAGTGTGTGCATAAAAATTATTCAATAAGATTTATTTTTATAAGTATAAACAAATAATACTGACATCCACACTCTAGTACACCATAAACATCAATATTATTAATTATTTGTTTATACTTATTTAGTTTTCCTTTTTCTCAAATTATTATTTATTAAGGCTTCTTTTCAATTTTTTTCTGCTATTGTAAGTGCTAGAAAGAATTCAAATAGTAATTTAAATACTGGAAATGATTTCTAACAAGAATATAAGGAAATAAAAATTATTATCAGATTTTCAAAGATAGAAACTCCAGAAAATCGAATTCTTGTTGTTTAGTACTCAGAACGCGTAAATATAATTTTGTTGAGACTACATAAAATGATAGAGCAAATAATTCTCTAAAAAATGAGATACCATTGAGTTCTTTGCAACACTTTTTAGTTGAGGTACAGCAATTTGATTGAAGGTCAAAAAAACGGATTTTCTATCAGAAATCGAAAGAAGAAAGATAACCTTAGAGGCTTCTGTAAGATTGTTGTATCTCAGCCAGAAAATGTCGTTGAAAACTCGAAAATACTTCATTTTGTAGATAATTATTTGCTCTATCATTCTATATAGTCTAAAGAAAATTATATTTACGTGTCCTAGGTGCTGAAAAACTAAAGTTTCGGTTTTCCAGAGTTTCCATCTTTAGCAATCTGATAATACTTTTTTTAAAATTCTTGTTGAAAAGTATCTTCTCTATTCAAATCTCTATATGAATTCTTTCTAGCGCTTATGGCAGCAGAAAAAACGTTGAAAATAAATCTTATTAAATAATTTTGGTGCCTACTATATATGTTAGAATATAGAATAATTCGATCACTGGTTATTTTGGTTCTAGATTATCATGTTGACAAAAAAAAGTTAAATGTATCATAGATAGAAAGAGATACTATAAAATTTAGTCAACACAACAGCTAGATACGGATTAAACTCAATTAATGAAAAAAAAAAATTACAATTAATAATTTCATAATGATTAATGATTCTATTTTATGATAATTTATTTGTCTTTCTTTGATAAATGACTTATCAGCAAAATTTTCTTAATTGATACAATTTAATTTCATAATAGTTTTGTCTTACTATTATTTCTATTTAGCTTCTATTTTTGTCTTTGTTTAGATAAGGTCGACGTGTACGTCTAGTTTAAATATATGATTCATTTTTAATTGATAAGAGTTCGAATTGAGTTATGTAGGAAAGAACTTGTCTATGAAGTTACTGTGGTAGATTGATTTTTCTTATTTACTTTCTTAAACAAACACGTCAAAAGTACACTTGCAGTGTTGAAAATGTTTTTTCTGGTTTTCATCTAAAAAAAAACCAATATCATAGTTTATAGTAAATACAGAATGTTACAGTCAAATTTTAAAATAGAAAAGTAAAAAGATTAATCAAAATATAGTGTACTGTGTGTAGTGTTTTAGTAGATTGATCAATTTATGTAAATAAAAAAAAAACAAAATTGTTCAGTATATTCTTCATAAATGTCATATAGACTGGCTAGTGATTATACTATATTAATAGACTGTAAGTCATAGAATAATAAGCATAAGAAAGCTTAGAAAACTAAAATATCGATTGAAAATATGCATCTGAATTCTCAAATCACAATACCAAATAAAGTCACATGATCAAGATAATCAATTGCATTGATGAAAGTTTACAAAGAAAATAATTATCCAATATTTCAAAAATTGAAAGCAATCGGAAAATACTAGAAATATGGTTCTTACACATAACTAATAATAGACATGACTTTCATCGCTTTTACTGTTTGTTACAATAGTATAGCCTTGATTAATTTTTTATTGAAATTTGTTAGTTTATCCAACATTTGTTTTCGATACAAATTAATAGACGCTGTTTACTTTTTTTGCGTTTGTTATATACAATGAAAAATAAATAAAACTCTTTATGCTCTCCTAAAAAATCGATCTTGGGCCAAATGTATTCAAATCACACAAAATTTTCAAGATATATTAGGACTGTAGTGGAGAGACTATGCTAAAATTTTCAGCTCTTGATCATGATGTTTTCAGGAGATATTCAATAAACAAGAGTAAAGAATAGCTGATTTGGCAATCAAAAATTCAGTGTGTTGCGGACCCTGATTCTGTATATATAATTTTTGTATTTAAAAGAGTATATCAGAATGCAGAGCTTTTTTTTTTTAAATTCTTACTTTTTATGAAGAGAAAAATGATAACAAGTTCAATATCTTGAAAAACTCTCAAAAAATGGTCATCTAATTATAGAGAATGTTTTTTTTTTATATAATAATAATAAAAACTTAATTCATAAAATAGGTGCTGTACCTTCACATGATCTAGCAAACAAAAAAAAGCAATTGGTTACAATTACGATTCTTCGAGAATATTGGGATGAACGATCAAAGAAGATTCTGAAAAACAAACAAATTTTTCAAGCAGAATGTGACAGAAATCATCACAAAAAGATGTGCCATATAAAAGTCACACCGTTTATGAAAGATCAGACTTTGACCGTATAGGTAAATTTCTATGTAAGAAATTAGCTATTAACGGATGGGCCGAAAGTTTTGATATAAAATGTTTGTTTTATTTTTCACTACTTCGAAAATATTTCTGAGTAGTCAAGAGCTACAAGTTATGATCAGAATTTTGTACTCTTTCTGAATGTAGATTCAGAAGTTTTCTTGAGACCATTGAGATGATCAATAGTTTGAAAGGAAAAATTTTTCCGTATATTTTTCTACTTTCATTATTGTAACTCGAAAATAAATGATGATACATTCATTAATAAATTAGCTTGTATAGCAGAAACTACTCTACAAAATGTACTATTGAAATTTTTTCTACAGGTCACTTCAATTTTCGTTTCTCTTAAATCTTTATATTTCAAATCAATCGACTTTTTGATCAAAAAGCGTTTTGTATAGAAAGAAGTTTTTAGCAAAGTGTCTATAATTTCCATTAGGTAAAAACCACAGCTTAGTTCAATATAATATTTTGTAAAGAAGTTTTCGCTTGACCCTTCAATAATTTTTAGCCAAAAATAAACAAAAACCTTGTCTCAAAACTTTTTGGTCTATCCATTATAAGAAATCATTTCATAAATTACTTATCTTGATGATAGTGTACTACTTTTTATCTGAGATTATATAATGATGTTTAATATTATATGATTATGAACGAACTTTTATGCTCAGTTTATTTTTCTTCAGATTAAATAAATAACATATGATACAAAAGTTTTTTTTTTTTCATAAACACGCTTCTAGAAAGCAAAAAAAGAATTGTTTTTATTGTTTTATCACAGAAACTTCAAAACAAACGATTTGTCTTTAATATTCACAAAATTGTTTTTTTGATGTCAATCAATGTTTTTTCGACCAAAATGAGAACTAATAGTCGATTGTTAACATTGAAACATTCAGACAGCTTAAGCTGACTTATATTACTCTGATTAGCAATGGGTTTCATTAGTTGTTTAATTTTTAACAATGATTTTTTTTTTTACTGAATAACTACTTTTCTTTCTGAAAATTTTGTTCGTTTATGTTGTAGATATATGATCAGTGCAATAAATGACTGTTTTTACGAGATATTTCTTATTAATTAATAAAAACCTTCGAAAATTTCTCATTTCTTTTTATCTTATCGCTTTCATTATGAATGCGTGACGAAAAAAAAATTATATACAGTTCTTAAGAGGACAAAATTTTCATATCAAAACGATAGAAAGATAATTTTACTTTCCAAAACCGTGTCTGTGAAGAAACATACAGATTGATATTTTACTTCATTACCTTTGAATAAAATAATTTCAGATTGATGAGTAGAAATATTTGACTTATTGAAATAAAATAAATTTTGTTGAAATAATAGTAGATGATTATCAACATTTTTACTTTCAAGATCGATTCTTATTTGAATTAGACAATAGATTATCATTTTGAAGATGTTAAATTTCAATTGAATTCGCTTGTTTTTTCAATCTATAAATAAATATTCCAAAGATTTTGAATACAAGAAATTTGTTAAAATTATTTGTTATCCTTCTAACTGTTGTATTGATTGCAATACCTGTTGATCTACGAAATGTTTGAAGGAATATAACATTCACTATTTTCGGTTATATAACCTGTTCTTTTTTGTTTTTACATATAACAGTTACCTTGAAAAAGTCGAGAACGTATGTATTCCCATATCTTACGTGGATTCACCTCTTCCAATCATTCCTTCTGAAGATGTACAGCGAGAAGCACTAAATAGAAAATCTCGAGTTGCGATTAGAATATCTATTTGTATCGGTGGATGATCTATTTACAGTGACACTAAAACTTTATGTACTACGATATATTAAAACATGAATTGAAGAATATCTACAAATCAGACTTAGAACATTCACTCTTTCTCAAGGATATATTTTATATTGGAATGATTTTTAGAAAGAATGAGATTTTTTCAAACAGAATAGAGTAAAAAAAAAAGTTAACAAAGAGATATGAAAAATACTTTTGATAAAATGCATTAGTTTCATGCAACAGTGGATCTCTTATAACATCTTCCATTCTCATGCTTTATCTATATTTCAACAGTGATAAAGCACGTGCTTTAGAGAGCTTCATCTATGATAATTAGTATCACATGCACCTTATCTCATTCTATTTCTCAACTCTTCTTCATGTAAGCATAACATTATTAGTTTATTTTTATTTTTATTTTTTTGTTTCAATATTTTCTGTTATAACATAAACTGTTTCACTATTATAGAAATCATTGAAAATTGTACGATTTTCATAGATATTCTGGAAAGTAAAATGATTATTCGTACTCATGATATAAAGAAATAATAGAACTTAGAAAATACTGATCATTTGTAGCACATATATTTCATTGACCTTCGACATTAGAAATATCAAATAATTATTCAAGTAATGATTTTTTGCTAAATAGAAAAATACAAATTTCTCATTAAAAAAACCATTTGTAATTGTATTGATATCTTATTTGTTGCTGATGCCCTTGTCCATAATACTATCGTAAAAAATCTAAAACCATCAAATATCAACAATAGAATAATGATCAAATCATTAATAGATTCTTGAGTTATCAAGGATAAGAAATACTAAAATAGTTTTATTAGAAAATTCTATTCAAGATATAAGATGATATATTTTATATAATATAATTTCATTATTCAAACTAAATCAAGGTTCTTTTTCTTCTATAACGTACACAACAGATGTAGTTGAAAAACATTTTGATCTTTTATTAAAAATATTCAAGTAGTATCTATTCTGTCATACCAATAGAGATTGGCAATGATAGCTAAATTTGGTCGATTGTGACAATATAATCTATGATATTTTCTTTTTGTGAAACATGATCTTAAGGAAGTGCTGAAGTATAGAAGTAAAAATTTAGATTTACCCACTCCTTCGTCTTCATAGTAGAGAGACGGGGTCGATTTTAATTGGAAAGAATCTGAATCGACTCTATCTCTGCTCCATGTACCATGACAGATACCTTATCAATATCTCCTTTTCTCGTCGCGTCACATACCGTGACAGACGATGATATATGATCAAAGGCCATATATCAATAACGTATCGTTGTAAAATATCAATCACTTTCTTATGGTAGTTTTGGAGGATAAAGTAAAAGGATGGTGAAGAAATATGTCTTAATATAGATAGAATATAACGATGTTCCTGTAATTAACACGAGCAGCCACATTGTGTTTCGTATTTAAAATCTATAGAGATTGTGCTAACAGGTTTTTTCAAAAGTTCGTATAATCGATGTATTTATAACAACCTTCTTTAGAATATTCACACAATACTTTATAGAGACATAAGATATTTTAAAAATGAGATAATTCAAGATTGGTGTTCTATGTCTATCTACTTACTTTATTTCTTACTTCATTGAATCTACATTAATAAATAAACATTATTTAGTACATAGTTTTATTTATGAATATACGTCATCAAAAAAAAAAAAGTTATTAAATGTATGTCTCTGTCTGTCTGTATGTTTTCATTGATAGGAAATCGATCAATATATATATATACTGATTATTGTTCGAGATATTGTGAAAAGGAACCGCCGTATGATCATCCTGGATAAGGTTGCTGTCCACCACCACCACCACCACCACCAAATAAACGTTGCAAAACACTTTGACCAGAACTGGATGGAGGTTGTTGGGGTGGTGGTGGTGGTGGGAATGGTGGGGGTGGTTGTTGTCCACCACCACCACCACCACCAAATAAACGTGACAAAACACTTTGACCACCACCGGATGGCGGTTGTTGAGGAGGAGGATAAAATGTATTCGGTGCACCAGGTTGCATCGGATTGTATGGAGGTTGATAAGGAGGAGGACCAAAAGGAGGAGGACCAAAAGGAGGTGAACCAACACCCTGTGCAGCTGGTGGTGGATAGCCCGGAACGTCTGAAGACGGTTGATAATTACGTATAGCATCCCAAACATGTGATACAGCTTGATTTCCTTGTCTATATGCTCCAAATGTTGGATCTGAGAGTAGAAGTTTACATGCCGAAACAATATCACCAACATTGCGTGATCGATGATCATGATCATGATCATGATGGTGATGTGAAAAAACAGGTATACCACATTTCTCAAGATTATCATTAACTTCACGAATTTCACGAAGAGAAAGTTCGGATGCACATTTTTTATGATGATCATAATGATGACGATGACAACTATTCGAACGAATTCTATAGCAATTTGGTGATAAAACTCCATCATAACTATAATCGTCAAGTATAGATGCACGTTTTAAACATTTTAATGTATCATCATATTTTGGAGTAGTACAAATTTCAATATCTTTATGATGTCGATCACGTGCTAAACAATCACTTATACAATCTTCTAATTGCGGATATGTACCACAGCCCAAAAAAGTAGTACGTCCACTATGTAAATCAACTTTTTCAAAAACACTTTTATGTTTTCTTCCTCCACGACTATGTGTAACATATATTGGCGTTGGTTCTTCCCTTTCTATTTCACGTGCACTAACTCGAACACAAATTGTCGGTGTTGTTAAATATTTTGATTTCGATTGTGTTTTTGTTTGATGATGATTTGTTTGTCCAACTTTTTTCTTTTCATTAGTATTTATTCGATGTACAGTTGTTTGGTAAGCAGTTGGATTATTAGATTTTTTTTGTACATTTCTAGAATGTGTAGTTGTTTTTGGGATCGATGCAAAAGGAGTACTACTTTTTGATGCTGAAGCTGATTTTGATATTAAAGCAAAAGCCGATGGAATAGGAAATATTGGTAGTGTTGGTGGTGATGAAACTAAATAATTTCAAAAATCAAGTTTTAGATAGTATTCAATATCTGATAGTTCATTAATACTTACTGTTATCGTTATTATTTTCATCAGAAATCGATGAATGATGAGATAAACGTTCGCTTAGCTCATTTGCTGGTCCAGTACGTATAGAGCCAGATAGAACTGACTCAGACAGTGACCGCGATGAATGTTGTTCCCCACTTAACATTGACTTTTGTCTATGAAAAAAAAAACTCACTTGACTGATATTTCGACTATGATACGCACGACCCAAGGGAAGAGAGGAGACGACGTTGCGATTATAACACGAGCTAGTAGATAAAATAGGTCCTTCAAATCTAACAAAAGCCTTCGTTCTCTACTTTTTTTTCTTTCTCGTTAATTCACAATATATAAAATAATGTTGTTTTCAAATCAATCAAGGTGGCCCTGTGTGGTTATGATGATAAGAGACGATGGCGATAACAGAACTATTGAGAAAAGAAAAAACAAACGACCATGAGCAAAGCAAGGTATGCGATAAATATATTATTGATACGCTTCGAAGCTCTTTCGTTCTTTTTTTTCCCCATTTTATATCAATGCTACCACTACGCGTTGACCTTCGTCTAATATTTTATGGAACACGTGTCTTGTATTTTTTCAATTAGAGAAAAGAAAATTTTATATTTTTAAAAGATAAAAAGAAAATAGATACATTAATAATTATCTATAACTTCATCTATCCAGTCAATATCCGTTGAAACAGATGCAAATGCATTATCATGATTAACATTTTGTGAACATTCTTCAAGACCATAACTAGCTACACCAAATATATACCATTTCCATTGTGTTCGATTTCTATTTAATTTAATACCAGCACGTATCATTAAACCAGCGCCTGAATCTCCACTACAAATATTATTTCCACGATCATTTCTTCCACATATATGTAATTTATGATTGATCATTAAATTTCGACATGATTTTGGAGCTACTTTTAATCTTGCTTTTCGTGGTATATTAACAGCTGTTGAATCTGGTGATGAATGACCCCAACCAGCTGTAAATGCTAATGTACCATCAGCTAATTTATCTGTTCGTTCTGGTAAACAGGCAATACCAATTGAATGTGATAATGGTACAGGTTTTTCTAATTTAATCAATGCTATATCATGTATTGGTGCTGGTGATAAAATACTAAGACGAAATTTTGGATGAATCAAATATAAAATAGGTTTTGCTACATGTTCATTTAGGCTACTGGTTGAGCGATCATAATGACCCATATATAAAGTAATACCATTTGTTGCATAAGGACTATTTTTCTTAGTATCAAACATACAATGAGCAGCTGTTATGATCCATTGTGGATGGATAAGTGTTCCAGCACAGAGTGTTACTGTACGTGAGAAAATATCCGAACGACTTTCTATACGAACCTTAAAAAGCAAAAAAAAAGATTTTGTTTTAATGTATGAGAAATATTTGATTGTATAAAATACTTACAAGCCAAGGATATTCAGCAGGACGTAAAGTATTTTTAACACTTGTGCTTACTTTTAATTGTAATGCTTTATTTACAATTGAATTATCTTTTTTATCAAATATTCCACATTGTTCAAAATCGTATTTTTCGGTTGGTTCAATTTCTTGTAAGTTAGGACTTTTTATTATTGGAACACAATCAGGTTCTCCACAAGGATCAATTAACATTCGACTTCCTCCTTTAATTGTACGAAAATGAAAACAATTTTTACATGATGGAGAAGAAGAAGAAATCTAAATAAACATATAAAATCGAGAATGTTTCAAAGAAATAATTTTCCAACTACTTTATCTCTTGAAAATATTGATGGAAGAGATATATATACAACACGTTCCGTGCGATTTTCTGATGGTACATTTATTGACAATGATGACGATGGATCAGCATTCTATTATTAAATAAAATTCTATAAAATAAATATTATATTTATTAGACTTACACAATAATAAAAAATAGTAATGAATAATAATAATAAAATGTTTCTCGACATTGTCTCGTCTATCCGTACGTAATACCATATGAAAGAAGGAATCAAGTTTGTCTTTGATTATAAAATAGTTTTATCACGTAGTTCTTTTTTTTTCCCTCACATTCTATTTCATACATCATTCTTACTCATGAAATGAAAAATGCATGACGATGTAATTCAATGCTTTATTTTATTTTTTTCAATTAGTATTAAAAGATTTTATTTTATCACTACTTTTGCACATCTATATAATACACTGTATCTATTCGCACGAAGTAGCAAGTAAACATCAAAACAAGATGAGAAAGACCTTCTAAAAAAAATATTTGAAATTGAATATTGATGTGTCTATGATATTTTATTTTATTGAGATCAAAATACAACACACACAAAAAAAAAAGAAAGTCTAATGATCAATCGATGATTTAAGTGTTGTCATTTCTTCCTGTTCTGCATTCGTTGATATTTGGTTTCTTGTTTCTTTTTTGGATTTTAAATATAAACTCCAAAGTTGTATTACATGTCCAACCATTACTATACACAAACATAAAATCACTAACCATGCCTAAAATAATATGGAATTGCATATTTCAAAGAAATTTTTAATCGACAATATTTACTCTCCAAGCATATATTGGATTTGTTGCAAGACGTGTTAAACCGTATGTAACAAAACTAACAATACCTGCTGTAGTCCACATTACTCCAAGAAGACTACCGATATATTGAGGTGGAAATCTGTAGAAAAAAAAAACATCTAGATTAAAGAACAAAGTTTCATTTTATATTTACCTTGTAGTGATAACTGCTTGACATCCAGCAACGAGCATTGTACGTGAAAAGAGGAAAATCAATATAGCAGCTATAGGAGCAGCTATTGATCGAAACATACAAACAATACAAAGTATTATTGTTGCTAGCCAAGTTATTGTTTGTAAAATAGAAATATTCAGCATTCGTTGAGAACGACCTTGAAAAAAAATTATATTAAAAAAAACTCTTGTTAGTACAGTCCATTTTGGAGCTGAAATGTGAAACTCACATATGTTCTTTAGCCTCAATAAATTAGTGCAAAATAGGTGAAGTGAAAAATTTCTCATAGACTAGAGTTCTATTCGAAGATAATTGATCAACAAATTAAAGATTTGTGTTATTTATTTCTGCATTTCAAACAGAATTCTTTTTTTCTTTTTCTTAGTTTAACATTATTATTCTAAGCATTGAATTACATTGTAAATCAGCCTCTTTTGCATATCTATCAAATCTACAGCAACATGTCTTAACCCATTATTAATATATCTCGATTAACGCACAAACACTGATATTGATTATTTTCCAAAGTTCTAATTTTGATCAATTCGCACTTTTTATATTGATTATAATTATGACAATTGTAGCAAATCAATGCATTGTTAAGATCTTGAATATAAATTTTTTGTCTACACAAAAATCAAAAACTGCCCTATTTTGAGAACATTGACACACATATTCCAACCATTCAAATTTCAATGAAGACTATAGAATATTCTAGAATATTCAACCTGATGTCATTAATTCCGTCCAACTTCTTTTTCCTCGATTACTAATGTCTTTATCACTATCTCCTTCAAAAATATATGTGAGTTCCACAGAAAAAAAAACAACACGATTTTCTACAAACCTTGATCGGCTTTATAATCAATAATTAAGCCACATATTGGTGCAATAAATATACTCAATATTGCACTCATATTATATGCGAATGTAAAACGATTAGCTAAAGCAAAAGAAAAAAAAATCGAAATATTAATTTTAAAAAATTGATTCTAACCTAAATGTAAATTATGTCCAGTTAAATGCAGAACCCATGGAAACCAAACTACAGGTAAATATGCTACAGTAAGAAGAAGACAACTAAGAAAAAGTGTTACAACAACAAAAATTGGATCTGTTAAATGTCGAGCTAAAGAATCGTCTGATGTTCTTATTGCAACTAAACAAATATATATATATATATATTATAAAAACAAATAATTAAACTTTAATTTTTACCATCTTCATTTGTTGATAATTTTCTTTTATTCGATACATTAGCACACTTAGAATGCCAATTAAGAAAAAGCATTGCACTACCAAACATTAAAATTGAAAATGAAGCCCAAATAAATGCTAATGTTGATAGTGAAATCCAATTTTTCTCGATAAGAATCTTTTTGTTTTTTCAAAAACAAAAAACCCAATCATTTAAATACAAATATGAAACATGACACAATTTACTTGAAAATTTGCATACCAAACAGAACCACCAATTTGAGCACCAGATATCAATGCTCTAGAAATAGAATTATAATAAAATATTGAATTATAAATATAAATAACTTACGTAACTAAACCTCGTGTTTTAGTAAAATTTGCTGATATTGAAAATGATGATAGTAAAACACACATTCCAGCTAGAGATGAAAATATTGTATGCGATAAGATAAGCCAATCATAACCTAAATTTAGAAATAATAAAAATATTAAATAAATCTTTAATAATTAATTATTACCAGGTTTTAAAAATGCTAATGAAAACCAACTAATTAAATGAAAAACACTAAAGAAAAATCAAAAGTAGCAAAACAAAAAAGATTTCATTAACAATCATATTTTTTTTTTGTTACATTGCAATCATTTTAAGAGAACGTGGTCCAAAAAAATCTGCAATCATGCCAACAACAACAGCTGGTAAATTATAAAAACCAATACCTAATGCAAAAGCAAACTAAGAATCAATAATAATTATTTAATTGAATTTTATTATTAATTTAACTTGATATTCATCAATTTGTCCTCGACAATCTTTTGTTATAGTTTTTGTATCATTTGAAATAATTTTTTCTGATATTATTTTACAACGAGATTCATATATACCATAATGAGGTAAAACACTGAATAAGGAACCAAATCCAAATATACTATTTTGAGAAAAAATGATTATATCTCATAGAAATTTATTTTATATAAATACATACTTTCCTGCAACTAGATTAGTTTCAATAACAATCCAAATAAGTCCAATTATTTTAAAAGTCGATGTACTCCTTGATTCATTTGTATCCTAAAATTACTCAAATTTCTTTTTCGAAATATTAGGTCATAATTTTTGCTTTACTTTCACCGCCATTGCAAATGATTTCTTATCAAATAAATACGAATCTAGAGCGAAACACGTACTCTGTAAATAATAGATAAGAACTTGTTGTATGTTTCTGTCATAGCTTGACACTTTCTCCTTAAATCACAAGTAATAATTATCAGTAAGAAAATGCTTTAGAGACAAACGAAGAAGAAAAAAAACTACGAATCCCATTGCCCGTCAGTTAAACATACATTCATATAACAAAAAAGCAAAAGGTAGAATAGTAAGAGAATATGCGTACATTATCAATGTCGAAAGAAAAAAAAATCCAAAAGAACGAACAGATTCCGTCTATATAGCAAAAAAACATGTTCTATTGTCGCTTTTTTTTGTCCTATATTAGGCGATTATAATGCGCGACATTTGATCTAATATAGTCCTATTCTAAATGTTCATATTTTATGTCAAAATATATCAGAAATGCTTTAATTATTACTACATTTTTACATATTTTGATAATTAAAGGTTAACAGATGGAAAAGTAAAGCATAAAAATTTATTAACAAAAAAAAGGAGCTTTGTTAATTGTTGAAGAATTAAAGTAATTATTTTTACGTAGTTATTGATCATTTTCATTGTATAAGATATAAATAAATGACAAAACACAATGACATAATATGTAGAAAATTTATGTTGTATACGATGAAATAATGAAAGATTTATTTGAATTGTTTTATCAAAATATCACTTCAAATTGATACACAATTTGTGGTTAAAACCAAAAAAGAAAACCTATCGAAATGAAAATTATTGATATCATTGTTATACATAAATATTGTTAAGTTAACTAATGACAAAATTTTTTTTTTTCCATTTTTGAGACTTATCAACTCTATAAAAAATAATTAACCAAATCCTGTAAGATCATGTATATTCTATCATTGTTCGATTCAAATAATCGTTTACTTGTGTTCGTATTTAAATTCGAAAAATATTTACCAAGTAATACTTTAAAGGTAAAACAGTCTAATATATATAATCACTATCGAATAAAATCTATTTTTATATTATAATGACAAGTCATGTATATATTACTATAAGAAAACTATTTTCTCATTAACAATATTTTGTATTTCAACTAACCTGTAAATTATCAAGATTAGAGTCACGCAAACATCTGAATTTATGTTGTTGGTTTTTTTTTCTTTTTAAAACTCATTATTATTAAAAAAAAATATTTATTTGATTTATCCATCGAATAAATAAATCTTATTAAATGTTGAAAAACCTTTCCTCTTAGTTTTTATTTCATCATATTCAACAAAACACCAAAATTATATTAAAAAAAAAAGAAAACAATGGAAAAAAAACTAAATTTGGTGTTATTGTTAATATTTTCTTTTTCTTCTTGTTTTTTTTTGTCTAAATTTTAATTAGACGATAATAAAATTTCTTTGCAATTTGATGCTAATTGTCGAACAATATCACTTTCATTTGATTGACAATTGATTAGTGATTGTTCAGTTTGTTTTTTTACATCGTCAGATATTTTTGAACCAACTGCTGCTAAACAAATTTTTAATGCTAATAAATATGTTTCTCTATAATAAAAATACAAACAATGAAATTGTTTAAAAAAAGAAGAAATTTTAATAAAAAAATTTTTTTTTTACTTGAATGATGAATCATCATTCATTTTTAATCCATTTAAAAGTTCAACGAATATTGGATCAATTCGTACATGAATGTGACTTAGTAATCCTAAAGCATTACCAGCTTTAACACGAACTTGACGTGCTGGATCATTAAGACCTTTAAGAAGTGTTGGTTGAAGTTGAGGTAAAAATGGTTTTAATTGAACACCAACCTAAAATATATAATGATCTCACTTATCTACTATTGAATGATATACGAGTTAGAAAATGAGATTTTTCTATTCTTTATTTACAACATACTGACCGTTTTTAAATAATTTCATTATCGATAGATAATAGAAATATGTGATTTCGAAGTCAGAACTAATGATTTCATATTATAAAAGAATAATCAAGACTAACGATTCCGACACGACCCTGAAGATGAAATACTTGATTTCAATCCAAAAATAGCTGTCTTTGCAAGTGTCTAACCACAAAATATCTTCTGAAATGACTCATTTTTCAAAAAAACAAATTCATGATAAGTAGGTATCTAGCTCTCTATATAAATAAAATAACAATATAACCGCAAAGAAAATATCAAATTAACAATAAATACATTTTTTATATCATTCTATACGAATGAGTCATTTCTACAGTGAAACGACTTCATCCATCTTAATAACATAATCAGCACTTGCATAGGCTATTTCCATGGATAACTCAACACCAACTCTAATGAAATAGTGTCAAAGAGTAAAGAGTTAGACACAATGTAATTATTTTTATCACAAGACAAAATGATTTTATTAATATTTATTGTCATTTTATGAGTCAATGCATGTCATGATAAACAAATAATGACAATTCGTTATATCGTTTCTATTCGTTCTAATAATAATTTGTAGTGCAAACATACATACAAAACAGTATAAAGAAATAATTAAAAACTCACATATATTTTCAAAGAAAATAGCAAGTGTAAGTTCTAAAGCAACATTTTACAGTTTTCCGCGCCTCCGAGAACAATAGACGTGAGATTCTTTTCCCAAAGTTCCTTAGCGATAGAAAAAGGCGCTAAACGACAGAACTTACAAGCAAACTATTTCAAGTGATAAATCGTTTTTGAGTTTGGACTCTATGCATAAAGTAGACCTCAGCGAGATATGAAACCTCCCAAAAGGATGAATACCCTTAGACCTTCCTTTCCGAGTTATTGTCATGGCAAGATATGTACCAACAAATCGAATGATGGTATTTCGACCTCGAGATATGAAACTTTCAAACACCACTCATATCTTGCAAAAGGTGCAAGAAGCCCAGATTTTTGGAAGCTCAATATCTGGGGAAGAATACATTCTTTTGAGCTTTGAGTTTCATATTTCAACTCCAAACGAGCTGTGCTAACAAGTTTTTATTAGAGAATCAAATTAGAATCGATGTTTTATTTCGTTTTTCTATTTCTAAAAGAATTTTAACTTACTTTTCCCATAAATGTACTTAATGTTTCAAGAATAGCTACTTTAATATCAGTACTAAATCGTTCACCTAATACACGAATTAATGGACCTGTCACATTCATAATTGATGATTTAAGAGCTTCAGCACTATAAGAAGAACAAAACAAAATCGATAAACATTAATATAAACAAACAAAAAGAAATCAATTTTTCATTACTCCGAAAGATTAATTGCTTCATTTAAACCATTCGCACCAGATTCACGTAATTCTGGAGGACCATTAAGAATACATTCTTTATATATCGGTAAAATACATCCAATACCCTATTAATAAAAAAAAAAAACTTTTTTGTTTTTTTTGATTTAAAATAAAACCTTTTTCGGTATGCATAAACCAGAAAGTCGACCACGTTCTCGACTATTTGATTGTGCAATACGTAATGCTTGTCGAACAATTGGTAAACGTTTTTGTAATTCAAGTTGATCCATATCCTATATATTTGTTTGTTATAAACGAAAAAGAAAAAATTAAGAAATTTTTAAATTTACTTTAATAATAACATCAACACAATCCCATGCTGTATTAAGTATTTGTTCATTATCATCATTAAATAAGCTAATACCAATACGAATAAGATCATCAATATATTCTTGATATGAACTTTTTGATTGTTTACAAAATGATAATAATAAATTAATTGTTACTAAACGAATGTTAACTTTTGATGAACGTGAAAATTCTTGTGATTCACGTATAACAACTTGTATACCTTCAGGATCATTAATCTAATAAGAAAAATAATCATTAATAAATAAAAAACAAATTTTAACACATACAGCTGCTAATAATTGTTCAGCATAATACATATGTTGTTGTTTAGCTTGAGGATCTTTTTCTTCAGCAATATGTGTAATAACAGCTTGAATAATACGACTTAAATGTCTTACTAATGCATCACCAGCAACTAATGTTAAACTTGCTAATGCTTTTATATCAACTGGTGATTGTATAAGATGTGGAACAAGATATGGTAAAACAACACGAGATTTTAATTGCATTATACGTTGTAAAGCATCAAGAGCATAATCACGTTCAGTTTCTTCTCGTTCTTGTTCTTCATCTTCTTGTTGACGTTCGGTTCCATTTGTTGTAGTTGATATTGTATCATTTTGCATAACATTTAATAAATATGGTAAAATATCATCTAATGCTTGTGTACCAATACTTGAATGAAGATTTTCAAATGTTTTAGCAGCTGATTGACGAACTTCAACTAATGGATCAAGTAAAGCACGTCGTACTGTTGGAATTATTGTATTTGAAAATGCAATAATCTAAATTAATGAAAAATAAAATTATTTTTCATTAGAAAATTAAATTATCAAAATGGATTTATCTTTGGAGAATGAACAATTGCGAACGGAAATTTGCCTATTGAAGCACTTGCTCGTCAGATATGTTAACTATCTGAAAAACTCGGTATTAATTTACAAAGTCTCTTCGAGATATAGATTCTTTTCCATGGATAGTATACACAACAAGATTCATATCTCGAAGAGACTTTATTCAAAAGTTCTGAATTTTTTTATGGAAGTTAATCTATTTAAGTTCTGTATATGCGCTAAGTTTCAGATCAAAATATGAGTTTTACAAAAACTCGATAGGTTAGTCAAATCTTAATAGGAACCGAAAGCTTTTTAGTGTTTTTATTAGAATCCTATGTAACATCTGTAGACATAAAACTTTGACACTTCGAAAAAAAAAAGAGTCAAATAGAAGACTGTATAAGATACAATGATAATTATTTCTTACATAATCTCGACTGCATGCTGCCATAATTTCACTAAGTCCAATACAAACACCTTGTCGTTGATCACTTTGTGGTGAATCGAGACCTTTTTCAAGAATAGGAATTATTTCAGGTAAAACACGTTCACCTAATTTTCGAACTAAATCACCCAATGTTCTTGCAGCAATCTAATTAAAAACACATGTTTTTTTTTTTTTACAAATAAATCTAATTTTGTTCATAAATACTTGTCGTTTATCAAAATTTGAACTTGCCAAACAGCCTAATAAAAGTGTAAATAATGTTTGTAAAATTTCTCTTAATGTACGTGGTGTATTTGATATAATTGTTTTCCATACATGTAAAGCTGATTGTCGTACTGTTAATGCAATATCTGATCGACCCATATATAAACCTATTTAATTCAAAATAATTATTTTAAAACAGGACAAAAATTTTTTTTGATTTCTACCTGAAAGAACTCTATCACGTCGATCTCGTCCTAATGAATGTGTTATAGATTGTAAACCATATTCTGTACCAAAATTATCATCTTCATCAACACTTTCTGTTGTTGCTTTTCCTGTTACACCCGATACTTTAAATAATAACTCTCCAAGTAATAAAACTGAACTATAACGTATACGCCAATTATCATCAAAAAGACCTTGTTCAAGTTCTGGTACAAATAATGATATAGCTGTTTCAGCATAACTATTAACAATACGTTGACCAGCTTTAAGTGCTGTATCACGAACAAATTCTGTTTCATCAGCTAAACCCTAAAGAAAAGAAATTTTAATGATTAAAAAAAAACAATGTTTTTTGTTTATTTTTGTCTTCTTACTTTTAAAATCGGTGGAATTATTCTTCCAACATATGGAACAAATTTTTCACCAAAACTAATTGGTAAATAAATAAACATCATCATATAACCATCTCGAACATGTGCAGCTAAATCAATTTGTTGTGATCGTTCAATAATTTCTTTCATAGATTTTTCAAGACGATCAGCACCAAGACCAAATATAACTTCACTTAAACCTTGTGCAGCACCTGAACGATCAACTGGACTTGATTCAAGTACAAGATGTTCCATAAGCCATGGAACAATTTCTTGAAATGCTTCTTCACCCATAGCACGAACCATTGAACCAAGTGCATGTGCTGATACAGCACGTACTTCAGGAACAGGATCAAGTAAAGATAATTTTAAACCTGGAAGAATATTTGGTAAATATGGAGCAAGATCCTATAAAAAGAAAAAAAATTTCCAAAGAAAATGTTTTTTTTCTGTTTTTGTTTTGATACTTTACTTTTGAATCAGTTAATGAATAAATATTTCCAATAATTTGTGCAGCCATTTTTCTTGTTTCTGTTGAACGATTTTGAAAAGCACGTTCAATAACAGGAATAATTAATGCAAGAGATGGTGCATCAATAAAATGAACAAAACGTGTTTGTATTAATGTATGAAGTGATGCTTGAGTTTTTTTAGTTGGTTCTTGTAATGCATCAAGTAAAACAGGTACAATTGCTAGATGAATACAAAACAAAAAGAAAAAGAATATATATATATTAAGAATAAAATAAAATCTTTACCTTGAATTTCAGGATTTTTTATTACAGAACCTATTTGTTTTAATGCTTGTGTACCACTTTTTTGTACACGTTGATGAGAATCAGTAAGTACTTCAATTAATTTTGGAACAATACTTGGTAAACATGTTGATAATTGTTTTGGAGCACAATGTGCCATTGCACCTAAAAAATTTCATAATATATATATACATATATATATATATCAAAAGAAGATTGATTTATTTTTATTATAGACATCATCAGAAGATATTAATTGCAATGATGTTTTTCTTTTGATAACATATAATCATGTTAACAAGCGAATAAGTTATGTTATTACAATGCTTTTGTAACCATCATTTCATATCTATTCGAAATATATGAATCATGACAATATGACATTCGATACAAGTCTTACACGATCAGAAAAAGTATTGTTCTGAATGAAAAAAGAGGTTGGGACTAGGATCATCTGGTTCGTAACTGTAGATTATTTTTGTTGGTACACGAAAAGAAATTGTCTTAATAAAATAGCTTGAGATTTAATTATAGTTTTCACATTGATTGTAATCATTGGCGTATGCCAATATTCGTTTAGTCTGTTTAAAAAGTCCGTGCGTGTGACTGTTTTTTTGAATAACTCGAGAACGCAAACAGCTAGAGACCTGCGATTTTCACCAATTGAAAGAGGAGGAGTTAGGGTGTCTTTCTCTCTGATAATGTCTCAGACGAAATTCTTTTAAAACCGATCATCTTTGAAAAATATAGAATAGAATGCACGAAAGTGACATACAATACACATAAAGTTTCGATTGTGGCCTTTGATTTAGATAGAGAAACTTCAGATCTATCGTTCAGAACATAATACACTTTCTTACGTTTCATTACATTTTCATCGAAGTATCCAGCTGTTATGACAAAAAATGCAAAAACGTAGTAAAACATAGTAAAATTCCCTATTATTTGTGCATGTAAATACATGATTTCATTTGGTCAACGTTAGAATGCAATTAGAGAGTCATTTGGCTGCATCTTGAACTATAGATCTGAAGTCCCTGTATCTAAATCAAAGGTCATAAGCGAAACTTCATGTGTATTGTATGTCACTCTCATGTATTCTATTCTATATTTTTCAAAGATGATCGATTTTAAAAGAATTTCGTCTGAGGCATTATCAGAGAGAAAGACGCCCTAACTCCTCCTCTTTCGATTGGTGAAAATCGCAGGTCTCTAGCTGTTTGCATTTTCGAGTTATTCAAAAAATAGTCACACGCACAGACTTTTTAAACAGACTGTAGTTTCAAAGGATAATAACTTAAAGATCAGTAAGTTTCATCTGCATAATTATTTTCAATGTGTTTGAACTTAACTGTCGTAATGTAATTAAAAAAAAAAGATTCTTATAGAAGAATATGAATTTTGTTTAAAATATTTATGATTCTTTGAGATCTATGTAACATGTGGGAATAGAAATCATCTTTGATTGAGTTTCTGCTATCAATGATGATGAACAAGGGAATAATTTCAATGAATCAACTGCTTTCTTTAAAAAAAGAAATATTCAATTGTAGGTGACCGATTATGCTGATTCTGAATATAAACATGAGAAACCTTTACTTGGGTTTCATATATCGATTTTTCACACTAATAAACATATGACCAAAATTGTTTTGAATCTGCTCAGATTATAGAGTATATCGATTTGTCAAAGAGACAATAATTGCTTCGGTATTCTGAAAATGAGTGGTAAATAAAATAATTATTACCAAGTAATTCAACAGCTCCGCATTTCGTTCTCCATAAATCTGATTCTAATCCTTTCAAAAGTCCCGGTAAAACAATTTTAACACCGTGACTTGTTAATTTGCTCATAATAGCTCTTGCACAATCTTCAGCAGCTTCACGAACTTTAACATCATTATCACCAAAACATAAAAGTAAATGTGGTAATATATTAACAATATAGACTTCAAAAAGTCGACCTAACATTGATGTTAACATTTCCAAACCAAAAAGTGCACCTAATTAAATAAATAAATCAAAATTTATTAAAAAAATTTAAATTATTTTTTTTCAAATATAAAACCTTCTCGTCGTTTAGCATTTGTTTTATCTTGAATAGCATCAGTTAATTCATTAAGAACATTATATTGTTTAACAGCAAGAATACCTAAACCTTTGATAAAACCAGCTAAACCATAAGCAGCTCCTTAAAAAACAAAACAATAACATATTCAAAAATTAATTTTGATATTTTAAATAAAACCTTTTTTCTCGGCATAATCTTCTGATTGAAGTAAAACATTAAGTAATTGTTGAACATAAACTCCAGCTTCATCTTTAATAGCTGGTACTAATGGTGGAAGACAATCAGCAACAGCAGCTTGAACCTAAATTTAAAAAAAAATAATATTTAAAAATTTGTTCAGTTTATTTCTTTTGTTTGATTTACTTGTTGTGATGGTGTATTTAATGTTGATATAAGTTGTCCAAGAATATTTTTCACTTTTGTACTATCTTTATCCATATCTTTAGCTAATTTACCCATAAGAATAACAACATTTTGACGAACAGAATCATAATTAGCTGTTTTAGGAGCTTCTTTAAGAAAATCTTCCATGATTTGTAATAACATTGTTAAATTATCCTTAAATTAAAACAAAAAATGCTGATCGTGCAATCTATGAGAGACTAAAATGTGAAACACGAATGCTTCGATTGATAAATTTCAACGCATTGTTATGTTTGTAATGAAAAATATCATTTGTAATATGTTACAATGAGTTTGAAAACGAATCCAAGGACAAGTACAGTAAAAGGTCTCTAATATTAGCATTATCGGGACCGATCAAGAGTGCTCATTATTGCAGAATTTTCCATTTCTTTTTTTGACAATCTATAAGTGTTCCGTTGCAATCGTTTTTTTTTGTTTGCACAAGATAATCTTTTTCTCCTTTCGAATAATTTATTAATTCAACTTTTTTAATCAACAGTAAATCAGTATGTATTGATATGATTTGATGTTACTAGTTATTAACACACACACAAAAAAAGATGAGATGTTAACCTAAGCACTATTGCTATTTTTTAACGTTGTTTTTCTTCTTTTAAATATCTACGGCTAGTCCATTGCTTTTTCCTATGTGTCTCATAATTGCTTATTAAAAAATCATTTTTTTTTCTTATTCTTTACGTGAGTGATAGAATATCTGTTGCCAACATTACCGAGTTTGTTATAGCTCATGGGATCAGAAATAAACGCCCATTGTTCAGCATAAGGAGATGCTTGCCATGAAGAGGTTCTAATGCATCTTAAATTCAATATTCTTTCATAATAATTCCACTGAAAATTTTAGTTCAGAGATTAACTAGGGAGTCATCCCAAGTAGCATCCTTGCATTTGAGATGAATTACCCTTCATTAGGGTGAGTCTGTTGAGTCTAGAAGGATCCCATCCAATGCGTTATCCTTCTGGTCACAATTCGTTTGTTCGACTTTTTAATAAGTATCGTATCACGAATAAAAAGTTCAATGATACAATCATAACTCCCTAAAGAAAGCGCATGACAAGGAATCTTTCTACTCTCAACAGATCCTATCTAATGAAGGGTGTTTCATCTCAAATGGGAGGTACCCTCGTAATACTGTGATAGAGAAAGACGTTGCTAAGGTGTCCGAATTTCTACTCTGTTACTTCAGAACTTCTTTAAGGTTGTGTTTCATAAGAAAATAATCAATCAAAAAAGAACAAATTCCTACTCGTCCATGAATATCAATTGTTGTTGTTGCTGCACGAAGCATTTCACTACGAACATCAACATTTCGATCATTTAATGCTGTTGGAACATAAAATTTAAATAAATCTTCAATATTATTACCAACAAGTGATGCCATATGAAAAAGACAGGCAGCAATACCAGCACGTGGTTCCCATGTATCAACTGGTTGTGCTTGTATTTGTCGTCCAAATTGATCAACTATTGGTGGTGGAAGCTTTATAAAAATGATAAATATTTATTATTTTATATACACAAAATTAAAATTTTATAAATCATTTTTAAAAACTAACTTTATTATTTTTTGTATAAATATCAATAAGATCACTAAGAACAAATGGAACTAATTGAGGATAAGATGTTTCTAATAATTTTGGTAATGCATGTGTAGCTGGTTCACGTACAAAAACATCTTGATGAACAATATCTTTAAAAAAATCTTTAACATTTTCAGATTTAACTGATAATTTTGTTTGAGGCCATAATCTATATTAAAATAGTTCATATATATATATATATATTGTTTTGTTTTGATTAAACAAAATATTATACTCTAGAGCAATATTTTTAACACGTTCTTCAAGATCTTCACAAGCAATTAATAAACGACGTGCAACATCAGCTTCAAGTTTTGGATGTGATGTATGTAATTGATTAACTAATTTTTTTAATGACTATTTTTTTTTTGTTTTATTTAATATATTGAAAATATACAAAAATTGAATTTTAATTAAAATTAACTTACAAGTATACAACTTTCTCGTACACTTGGAATAGATGATTGAAGATTTTCAAGTAAAACTTGAATATCATCATCATTTTCATATGTACAACATAATTCACATAATTTTTCCAGCATTTGTGATGCGTCATTCTATATTTAAGTTACAAATTCTAATTTCTTTTTATAAATAATAACTTACTTGAACTTGAACAGATGTTGATACAGCATTTATATCAAGAAATAAACGAATAAGATCACGACGTGGTAACAATGATGGATGATTCTAAAATATATGTTTTTTTTGCTACAGAAAAAATCTAGTTTTGAATATAGATTTTAAAAGTTTTTTTTTTTTACAAACTAAACTAACAATAGAAGGTCGTGGACTGTAGGATAATGAGATTGATCGTATTTGGATCAAATGGGAATGCTCTCACTATCAAATGAACTAGTTAAAAATATGAGCTGCTCGAAGCATGAACCGACCAAGATAATCGAACTTCAAAGTATTTACAGTGGCCACACTTCAAAATTCAAGTAGTATGGGTTTTTTCTATTTTCGTCATGGTTGGATAAAGCTCGGCGAGTTATTTAAGAAAAACAGTATCACACATATACAAAATCGATTGTACAATAGTCAGAGTATTATGTTTATTATCCTTATATTTAACAGTGATGATATCTTGGACTTTTTTGAATATGTGTGATATTATTTTTTTCTTATATAACTCGTCGAGCTCAACCTAATCATGACGAAGTAAAAATTAAAGCTACTCAAATGCTGTACTGTGCCCACATGGCATAGATTATAAATATCTTGAAAATTGAATATCTCGGTCCGTGCAAGCTATGAGCAACTCATATCTTAAATTAGTTAGTTTGAGAGTGAAAACATTCTCATTTGACTCGAAGCATTTTTCATATCGATTTATCTATCGGATTTTTTAAGCAAAGAGATAACACAAAAACTGAAAATCTTGAAATCATTATCAGCTATTCTTTAGGTTTGATGGATGTGTATTAAATTAATAGAAATGTAACAATATCAATACCATTTATTATTGGTATTTGTTACAGTAGTCAGTTACTCAATAGAAGAAAATTTGTTAATTTGATTTTTGTCATCAAACGGGGTTGGCGGAAAACGTCTAAAAGGAAAATATCGAAAGGGGAAAATGTCGAAAAAAAATAGAAAAGGAAAATATCGAAAAGGAAAATGTCGAAGAGGGAAATGTCGAAACAAAAAATGCACTGAAAGGAAAATATCGAAACGAAAATGCCGAAAAGGAAAACGTCGAATTTATTTAAAGATGTCAATGAAAAAATTCAATTGTTTTTATTCTTATTGGTCACTCCTCGACTAGCACGTTTTATTCCCCATCGAATACAGAAAAATTCTTAACATTAAATAGATATATCGTCAAAATGACCTCAAACTCAGATTCTAAAAATAATTCATTAAAAACGCAGCAATCTGAGATACCATTTACCACATCGAACAAATAATACTTCAGAAGATGAGAATACTACTGTTCTCTATCTGTTGCATTCCAAAGCTCTGTCCTTCATTATTTATATTTTAGCTTATAATCTTCGATTTGCAACTCGATTTTGTCAAATAAGCACCCGAATATTTGGAGTTTTATACAATTGATTCACAGTGAACATGTTCGTTTTGAACATATTTCAATTTAACTTGATGCTGGTGCATCTGCGCCAAAACAATCGACAAAAACAAAAGCTTTTCAAATGAGATTTGAGAATCTGCACAATAGATTTCTCAAAAAGGAAATCAATGCAAAGAAATTTTTATCAGGTTTATCATTGTTAATTGGAAAGAAAAAAATAAGATGCTATTGTATTGTCAATTTTCTCTCGTCTTTCTTTCTCTAAATTAATAAAACATAGTATTTTCTCATATATGACAAGGAATATACTAATTATTTCGACGTTTTCCTCTTCTACCTTTTCCTTTTCGATATTTTTCTTTTCTGGTTTTTATTTCGACATTTTCCTCTTTGACATTTTCCGTTTCGATATTTTCCTCTTTCTATTTTTTTTCTACATTTTTCTCTTTCAATGTTTTCATTTTCGACATTTTCCACCAAGACCCATCAAACTATCTATAGATTTGCATTTCTTAATTTCAAAAAACTTCATAACAAATCGTTATTGTCATACAATAGGCTTTGCTTAACGAAAAAAATCACATTTACAAATTTTTCAATACTAGGTAACTCACTACTAGAACCCATCGGAGTAGTTTCGAACCTTATCGGGTTCGAAAATTTTGGACCCGACAGGCTCTACTGATGACTTCTACTAATATCAAATGATATTGGTATTTTTACATCTCTACTATTATTAAACAAAGAAGATCAAATCTTGAGATTTGACTTCATAAGATTCGATATATATAAAAAAATATCTATAGATTGAAATCTTGTTTTATAAATAAAATCTTGTTTGAAAAATAAAATTAATATATATCTTACATCAGGATCAGATGTTGACACTGTTGAAAAATATTCTCGACAAATATTCAATATTGATGTCATCCATTCATTCGTACATTTTGAATGACTAACAATATTCTACATAAAAAAGATTACATAAAATTTTTATTTTAAATTATAAAACTAACTTTAAATAAAGGTAAACAATAATCAAGTCTTGCAATAGATAATTGATTAAGTGTTTTAGCTTGTTGAGTATTTTCATATAAACGTTGAAGTAAACGTTCAACAGCCGAAGATAAATCTTCTTGAAGCCAACGTTTATCTATTTGTTGCTTAACAGTTGATGGATCACAATTAAGTCGAATAGCCAAATATGCAATAGCATAACCTTTACAAATAAATAAATAAACATACATTATTTGAATAAAGACATCATCTATTTGTACATTACCAAATGTATCTTTATCATTCATAAATACAATTGGTACGAGAATAAGATATAAATCTTTAGCATAATTAAATGCTACTGGTGATTGTAATGTTGGCCAAATATGAGCAACAAGTTCACCAAGATAAGGTATAAATTGTTCTTGAGTATTTTTAACAATATTTATTAAAAGTTCAAAAACATTCTTTGCATTTTCATCAATCTAATGAAACATAAATAAAAAATTATAAAACAATATAATTTTACATTTTCTTTTTTTCTTTTACTTTTTTAACCCTATCACGTATTATTTGTTCATGATCAAGTTGTTGTTGAAGCATTTCTTGTTGTTTTTTTGTTAATTGTTGTTGAACATTTTTATTTTGTTTAGCAGCTAATTCTTTTTCTAATTCTCTTGCTGCCATTTGTTCTTTATATGAATAATTTTTACTTTCTCGTTTGATATTTCCTGTTTCTTTTACTTCATGTTTTAATATACTAAATAATTAATTATATTTTTTTAGTAAGTAAAGAAAAAAAAATATGATTTTTATATTTACGTTTCCATAACACTTTTATCATATAATTGACCTGATGGTGTTTTCATTATTTCATATGATCGTTTATCTACTAATAAATAATGATCAACTTCAAGACGTTGATAAGCAATTTGAAGAAAAGGTTTTAAGAAAAGATTTGGTTTTATTGAACATAGAAGACCTATAGCTGATATTTGATCCTGATAAAATAAGAAAAAGAAAAATATATATAGTGAAGAAATGTGAAAGAAAGTATTTATCAATATCAATTTCAAACACTAGCAGAACCAATCGCTTTTTGATTTTTGTCATGATCCTGACCTCAATAAAAACACTATTTTAGTTCCGTTCAACAAGGATTCAGTTCTATCATTAGACTAAATGAAACTTTTGTTAGCATAAGACCAGAAATAAGTCTCTGTCATTGTCTAGTACAGCTAGACTGCGATTCATTTGATCAATAATATTCTTATCATGAGATACTCAATTAGACATGAACAAGACAATGTATCTTAGTATTGGTCTTAATCAAGAATGACTTAGTCCTGATTCTGATTCTGTTGAAAAAAAAAGCATGTTAGTCATAATATCAGTTCCAGTCCCATCTGATTCGGAACCAATTTTCCTATGTCTAGCTATAGTCAATCGTGAAAAGAACTCGGATACATAGCTTTTTGCTCCGAAGATACTGGACCTTGATGGTAATTTTTAATTCAGTATCATGGCCCCTCAAGAACACCAGGAAAACTGACTTTCGAGTTTCCATTTAAAACTTTGCACAGAGATAGATCTTATAGTTGATAATGAAAGTATCAGGTTTATTGATGTATTCCTATTCTGAAATAAGAACGTCGAATCTATCAGGGTATATGAACAATGTAAAAGACATGCTTTTACCATAACCATATCTTAAGATAGGAACAATGCAAAATATCTGAAACTCTCATAATAAACTAGTCCCATCAAGGCCTATCGGTGTGCAAAATTTCAAGACAAAATTCAAAAATCAGTTTTTCCGGTGTTCTTGAACAAGATCATAGTTTTGATTCAAAACATGCATCTTCTAGAGATGGGAGAAGTAGAAAGTGCTTTCATTCTCGGAATACTAGAAATGGTGATCGAGTGACGAGAAGAACAAAACCCACCATTACCCGACTCTTCTCAGAGCAGACGATCTGCCACCAGGCTATTCCTCTCCAATCCTATTCACATCGCAACAATACTATCTCCTTATTTTTATTTCACTTTCTACCAGAGAAAGGTAAATAGTATGTTCGAATCTTGTTGCTGTCCAATCTTACTATGCAGTTGTAAAAAATTGGTAGAAAACATTGAGAATAACAGAACGAACTTTTTGCAGGGTATTGATAACTCATTAGGATTTATGTGATGCACATAGTCTCGATTTCATAGCGATTAGTCAGTTAGAAGACTTCTCTCGTACGATATTTTGATTCTTATTGACTAAAATTAAAAAAGAATAAGTCTTCAATGCTGATCATTATTTCTTTTCGTCTATCATTACACATTGATAAGTCTTCCCATCGAAATAAGATATTATTACTTTTGTTAATCTTTGATTTGCTGTACAAATTTGAACAAGAGAATTAATATTATTTTTAAAATAATTTTCTATTTCATTGTGTTGTTTATCAAATATAAGATAAAGAAATTTGAGCCAAATTTTTTCATCAGTTAAAAGTAGATTTGAACTTGAACAACAAACAAGTAATGCTTGAATAGATAAAATTTTTTTTGAATTTTCATCTTGCATTCGCATTGATTTAGCTAAACATAAGATTGTTTCTTCAAAACTTTTTGAAATTGTTGTTAATTTCATTTGTTGATTTGTTTCATCAACTATCATAGATTCATTCTAAATCAAAATAATAATAATAATAATAAATTTTTTTCTTCTAAATATTCAAAAAATTTATTTGATTTACTGATATTTGAAAATGATCAAGATATGAATTTAATCCATTTAAAAGTGCTACACTTATATCAGTTTCATTTGAACGTAAATTATTAACAAGACGACGAATTATATCATATGCTTGTTTACGTATTTCATATGATGAATGTAAAATTAAATAAATAAATGTTCGAGTATATGGACTAGACGAAAAATTTTATTCTTATATTAAAAACGAACAAAAAAAAAAACTTACGCCATATCTTGAATATGTAATGTTCCATGAAGTTGTTCATATAATTGAAAGAAAACACGAGCACCTATAAATCTTCATATGTATTTAACTAATCTACAGTAAAATCTTTCTATTGTGAACATTCTCAGGACTATTTAAAAAAAGTTCAGTATAGACAGAGATGTTTAGTTTAGAAAGTTGATGTATGATTTGCTGTGAAATGAAGAAACTATTCATGAATAATCTGCTTTTACACTATAGTCTTGATTAAACATTTGATTATCCATATATAAAATGTACATACTCATAGGTCACAAGAAATAGGTGATAGACAGTAGGATGAGATCAAAAAAATAGCATTCATTGTTTAAAGTAAAGAAGTTTTCATATTAGCAAGAGACATTTCGAGAAAAAAATCGCACTAGGATTGTCCATAATTAGGAGATATTTATTAGTAGAAGTTTTACTGTATACTAACCAGCTTGATTGATTTCTCTTTGAAATTTATCTGTTGTAAAAATTTGTCGTTTACTATCATTTAATGATGACCATAATGATGTTAATTTACTGTCTAATAAATTAAATTATTAATGAAAAAGAAATAATTCTTATTTTTTATTTTACCATAAGAAGAATTCATTTGAGCAATATTTATCATAATAAGTGCAGCTGATAATGCTTCATGAACACAATTAATTAATGTTGGTTGATTAAGACCACGTTCATATGATGCCATTAATGTTGTATGTAATGGTATTAAATTATTCAAACTATTCTCTATAAAATGAAATTATAAATTTCAAACATTTTTTTTGATTCAAATAATGCTCCGAACCTTTATATGTCACTAACATACATTGAAGATAAGCTGTTCGTGTAATCGCTGAACTATTTTTTTGTTCAAGTCCTTTCTATTCAAAAAAAAAGAAAAAGAAAATCAATTAAAAAAACAAAACAATATTCATTACTTTAAAGAATTCTGTTAATGTTTGATCATGAGTTGTTAATCTTGAACACCAACCACTCATTTGTTGTAACATATGACAAATAAGACCTTCATTTACTTCTTGTTGTATTATTGGATAGAAATATTTTTCAAATAATTTTAATATATCATCTTGTGATATATTTGTACTTGGTGAACGACTTAATGTACCAATTGCACTTAGAACATTTTCACGTTGACTTATGACCGATAATTTATTGACAGATGAATCAGTTCCTAAAACAAAAACAAAGAAAGCCTAATGAAAATAGGTTTTTCTTTTTTGATTCTTAACCATTGAGAATATTGAATAAATATTGAACTATACTAATTGTTGTTTCACCATTTGAAATTTGTTTAGCAAGAGCACGAAATGAAGCTAATGCAGATGCTTCTAAGCTTTCAGTTTTTGATATTAATGGTGCTTAAAAAAAAAAGAAATATAACAAAATTTCATTTGAAATATTTTTGATAAAATATATATACTTACGAGCTAAAAGTTTAGCAAGTTCATTTGCAGTATAACTTAAATCGAATTGTAAATTACTAAGTAATGATGGTACAGCTATTTAAAACAAAACAAAAAACAGAAGAAAAAGAATATTGTAAATGATAAAAAAAAGAAAAATATACCTTCGATAATTATTTCAGGATTACGAAGAAGTGATCGATTAAGTATTGGATAAACTTTTGTTTTAAATGTTTCAATATCAATTGAACTTTGTATTTCATTACAAGGTTTTAATGCTGTTTCATAAGGTTTTGTTCGTGTACCAAGAATTAATTTTGAATAGGAATCAATACCAATGGTCTAATTAAATAACGAAAAATTGAATTTTTCGTTATTTTTTTAAAGGAAATAAAAAGAAAAAATTTTACTTTGATTTGTTCATATAATGTTGGTTCTTTTGTTTTAAATCGATATAAAAGAGAACTGATTAAACCTAAATGAGCTAAATCATGTTCAGGTATCGATTTTAATAAAGTTATCCAATGTTCGGCTAATGTTGGAATCTAAAATAAAAGTAAACAACGATTAATTTTATTTGTACTACTTTGGATTTGTTTTATTTTCTTTCCTGCTTTACTATTTTTAGTGAAAATCAGTTCGTTAGTTTTTATCTTAAAATTTTCACCAGTTGATTCTATACTGTTTAGAAATAATACTTCAAAAGATTCTTTTTATTAAATCAATCATTTGTTAATATAGTAATATTCTTCGTAGACAATGAATACATCTAACTATCTTTAATAATAATTATCTAAAGAGATTCATTGCCGATGATCTTTGTATTTACTTAGAAGGAAAATATTGCCAGGTGTCAATTTGATTTTGAACTGAAACTTAATGCATTTTGTTGGCCTTAGTGAACTATGTTTACCTTAAATAAAGTTCGTGATTATGGTCTGTTCATGAGGAAATCGAACGCTGTATGACCTCACACATTTGTAGCAAAACTATATTTTTGAATTTTGACTAGCTTGAATTAAAAATTTTAGAATTTTCGAACTAAGACTCTCCAACATCTGGAACTTTCAAGATATAAACCCTTTTCTACAGATAGTACATTTAGCATGTAGTTTTTTTGGAAAGTTTCTGAACTTGAAGAGACTTAGTTCAAACTGTGGTGTTATTAAGAATATGAGATCCTATAGTATTCGATTTTCTCATAGACAGGTCATAAGTACGAATTCTTTTTTAGGTCACATATAGTTCACTAAGGTCAACAACATGCATTTACGAGAGAATCTCCTCGGATATCTCCATCCAATTTTAATGACTTTTTGCCTATAGATACTACATAGTGTTCTAATAAAAACCCTAAACATATTTGAGTTCTTATTGATATTTGACTAGGCTATTGATTTTTTGCTAGAAGCTTCAGATTTCCTGAAAACTTGTATTTTCAAATTTTGATCTGAAACTTTATGCATATAGAAACACTTGACCAGACTAGCTTCAAAAAAAAAACTGCAGAGCTTTTCAACAAAGTTTCTTCGAGATATAAAACTTTCAAGATATAGATCTTTTTTCCATGGATAGTATACACAACAAGCTTCCTATCTCGAAGAGACTTTGTTCAAAACTTGTAAATTTTTTTACTAGTTGAGTCCTCTATATGCGCAAAGTTTTAGATCAGAATTCGAAAATCTGAAGCCTCTAGCAAAAAATCGATAGCTTAGTCAAATATCAATAGAAACCGAAATCTTTTTAGGATTTTTATTAGAACACTAGACAGTGTCTATAGGCAAAAAAAAGTAGCAATGTTGTCTCATTAGATTTTTTTTTTGCAATAACTTATTGTAATTGAATGATATACCTGTTTGAATAGAGAATTCAGACGTTTGTCAACTAATTTTAATCCTTGAGAAGTTGATGAATCAGCCAATAAAGTTGAAATAAACCTTGAAAAGATTAATAACTAAAAACAAAACAAGCCACAAGAACATTTATTTCAAATTGTAAACTCATTAATTATATCTTACAATCAATTTATCGGTTTCTTCTTCAATTGTTATTCCATTACTTGCTACTATAATTCTCGACATATATATAAAACCATAATCAGCCTGAAATCGTGCATTTCGACTATTAAAAACCAATTAGACTCCATTGTGAGAAAAAAAATTCTATATAATTTTGACATACTGTGGATGTACTTTACAAATAGCACGTGATTGTACATCGAATGCATGGATAATTAATTTCAAAATTCTTTCCTTATATTTTCGTATAACTTCATCCAAAAGTGTACTAAGAAGAATACGTGATTTTGTTGTTGTATACAATGGAATAAGTTGACCAATTGTATGAGCCAATATTTTTAAAGCAGGATCTGGTAGATCTTTTTTTTAATCGCAGAAAAAAAAGACATAATCGATTAGAGAAAATTATTTTTAACTTACCATTTGCTTGATTTGTTTTTAATGATTCAATAAGATCATTTATAATATTTGTACGTACTTTTGGTGATGAATACCAACTGTATCGAACAAAATTTTTTAATGATTCCATTTCTGTTTTTTTTTTCTTTATTTTTCTATCTAGAAATACCCGAACAGTTGTGTAAAACTCATATTATGAAACAAGAAAAAAAAATAAGAACAAAATAACAATAAAATAGACGATATATATTCGACAAAACAAAGACAGACATTAAACAACTATTATTGTTCTGGTTGTTGTTGTTGTTGTTGTTGTTGTTGTTGCTGAAAACGTTTCATTAAT